GGTTGTAATTGGTTCCTGACTGTTCGCGTCATTAATTGCTTTTTCCTCTTCCTGGGTTAATTCTGGGACTGTTACTATCGGTGGTAGATCTTCAAAGCACTTCTTTAACTGGTTTATATGAACAACTTTAGGTATTGCACTTGGAGCATTACAACTAACTATCGTTACGTAAATTCCATCTATTTTTACAACTCTGAATACACCTTTCCAGGGCATGTGAAATTTCTTTGAGGTACCTATTTTGCCACCATAATTCCTCAATAATACTCTGTCACCTACAGTTACTGTTGGATTTCTTGTCAATTTGTCGTACTGGGCTTTTGACTTTAATTGGGCTTCCTTATTTGCTTCGTCCGCGGCTTCCCATGCTTTCCTCAATGAGATTACTAGTTTTTGCTTGAATTCAGATAAATCAGTTAAGGCTATTGGGTCGTGAACTCTGGGATCTAGAATTTGGTCTACACAGAAAATTGGATCCCTACCGAACATTAAAAAGAAAGGTGTTTCTCCTGTTGAAGCATGAATTGATGTGTTATAGCAAAAGCTGGCTATGTCTACAAATTCATCAAAATCGGGCTGTTCCTTATTTATATACTTGGCAAGAATGTTATGGAATGTTCTAAAAGAGCGTTCAGTGACTGCATTGCCTTGGGACCAGTGTGGAATTGCATAGCTCTTATTTATATACAACATAGAGCAGAAGTTTCTGAAAAATTCGCTAGTGAATGCCGTGGCATTATCTGTAATCAGTTCAATACATCCGCCAAATCTTAGATAGCAATTTGTGAGGAAAGCCTTTGCTAACGTTAATGCTTTTGCGTCAGGGACAGGCACTGAAATTACATATTTCGTGAACCAACAAATAATGTTCATTATATATTTGTTTCCATTTTGTGTCATCGGAAAGGGACCCGCTAAGTCAATTCCTACTTTAGCAAAGAGTGTACTTGGAGGAGCCATCTGCATTTCAGCTCTGTAAGGAGGATTTGGAGAGTGCCGAAGCTGACAGGTTATACAGTTACGCGTCCAGGTGAGTATATCAGCGTGCATTCTATGCCAAAAATATTTTCTGCATTTCTTTAATGTCTTTTTCATACTCATGTGTCCTCCGCCCAGGTGCGAGGAGTGAAAGGATTCAAAGATTAATGCTCTAAGGGAGACTGGTACAAATATTCTGGGATACAAGTTCGGTAATTTATGGCAAAGTATGTCCCCTATTATTTGAAGATTTTCTGCTGATACTACAAATTTTTCTATTTCATTCTGCGGAATTTCTTCTGGAATTTCTCCAGTCTTTAAAAATTTAATGAGGGCCGAAGCCTCAGGGTCTTCACTTTGTTCATGCCTAATATCAATTGTATAATTTTGTCCATCCTCTTTTCTTAAAGTAAAGGCTGCTATAGACTCATCCACAACTAATTGCGACTTGGTTCTTAAGGCTAGACACACAGGAAACTCAGCAATGTCTTCAAGCTCTTCGAGATTTTCTACTTCCTTGGGGTCATTTGTCATAAATGCCCTTGATAACGCATCTGCTAAGAGGTTTTCTTTTCCAGACACATGCACAATTTTTATATTATAATTCTGAAGTTCAATGAGCCAGCGTGCTAAATTTGGGTGAGCCTGCGCCTTTTCAAGAAGATACGCCAAAGGCTTATGGTCAGTGTGAAGCTCGACCTCTGCCATATAAATAAAAGGTTTGAATTGCCTAAGTGCATAGATTATCGCACCTAGCTCTATATGTACAGGTGGCCACTTCCTTTCTGCAGTGGTTAATGTTCTACTACAATATGCTATTGCTTGAAACAGATTATTTTCATTCTTTTGCATTAGTGCCCCTCCCTGACCTACTAGAGAAGCATCAGTGAATATGTGAAACGGCTTACTATAATCTGGAAAGGTAAGGACTGGTTCATTCGTCAATATTTCTTTTATTTTATCAAACGCTTTTTGTTGCTCGTCTTCCCACTTAAAGCAGTTTTCTTTACGAGTTAGCCTGGTCAATGGTTCTGCTATCATTGAAAAATTTTGAATATGCTTTCTGAAAAATGAGGCCATTCCTACTACTCGCCTGACTTCTTTGACACTAGTGGGTGCTGCTAAGTTCTTTATTATTTCCACTTTGCTTAGGCTTGGTGTGTAGCCTGAGGAATTAATTATATGCCCTAAGAAGTGCATTTTTGTTGATCCCAATACACATTTCTTGGGACTGACTTTTAATGAAAATTTTCTTAATCGCTCAAATACTTGTTTTAAGGCATCGAGATGCACGTCAAAGTCATTTGGTTTTGTAAATACAAGAAAGTCATCTACATAAGTTAACACACAATCTTCTAATCCACTGATTACATGCGCCATTACTCTAGCGAACGCACTAGTTGCATTTCTTAAACCGAAAGGCATATGGGTCATTTGGTACACTTCGTCTTCTGTAATTACACCACATTTCCTAGAAGCTCTTTCAGTTAATCTTATCTGAAGATATCCACTTGAGAGATCAAGAGATGAATAAAAGTGACAACCTCCTACTTTTTCCATAATTGTTTCCAACCTAGGTAGGGGAAAATGGTCCGGTACTGTAACTTCATTTAATTTTCTAAAGTCTATACAAGGCCTAAGCCCACCATCTTTTTTCTGCACTAATACTATATTTGAGACCCACGGAGTGTCAGATTTTACCATCACTCCTGATTTTAAGAGCTTGGTAATATTTTCTTGCAGTTCGCTTTGAAATTTAAATGGGACTCTATGAGGTTTGGAAGCAATGGGAGTTTCCGTTGTGGTTAGAATGTCATGTTCTCCTACTATACAAGAACCTAAATCATACTGACTTTTGCTGAAGACATCTGAGAATTCTTCACATAGTTTTTGGAGTTTGATTAAATCATTTCCTTGGACCGAGCTTTTGGAAAAATCTATTTTGAATGTATTATCTCTTTCTAAGTTATTTACTTTGTAAGCATCTATTTCACTTTTATCTTGATATTGGGTTAGCCAAGGACCTTCACCGCTTTCTATACACTCATCTGCAAATGCTATGTGCATTCCATTAAAAATATGCTTTGGGGCATTTGTGGGATTGGCCAACAAAACACATACAGAATTGTCCTTTGGTTCCACAACTGTCGGAATTAATCCAATGTTTTCACCTACTAGACGATTTTCTAGAGCATGAATTAATGCATTGCTTATTTTATTCATAGACATTAATTTTCCTTTGACAATTTTGTGTGACCCAGGGAGAATAGTTGTGGCTTCTATTGCATAAATTTTCGCATTTTCTATTAAAGGTTGATTATTTATGCCGAGGCATACTGCGGAATTACCAAACCACGCTTTGTCATTCTTAAAGTCAAAAGTGACAGGTGGTCAAAAGTGACAGTCAAAAGTGACAGGTTCTCTTGCAAGCGAGATAGGAGCTATGGATATACTTGCCCCAGTGTCGATAAGACAGTTCACAGGTTTATTATTGACTGATACCCTAGTAATTGCTGTATTTGGAGAGGTAGCGTTAATATTTAATTTATTTTTGGCCGAGGCCGCATTTTCACTTGAGGTGGATAGAACATTTATTTCTATTGGAGGTATTTGTGATACTTGAGGAATCCAGTTGCTTTGCTTACGTACACTCCTTTTCCTTTGTTTTATCATGGACATTCTTTTTAGTGGTACCGATTTTAATTTCCTAGGTGTCCTTACTACACTTTCTTGCCTTGTTGTTCTCACTTTAAATGGCTGTGGTATTTCTAATAAACTACCTATATAGTTTTTTGATACAATTAAGGCCACTCTTATCACTAAATCAATTATTAAGACTACAACTAGACATGTTATGACAATTTTCCAAATTCCCATATAATCTCCAAAAACTTCTTTTGTAATTTTATCCCCCGCTTCTTTCCACTGGTCCGATAATGTTTTAGTAATGACTGTGTCTTTTTCACTAAGTGTGTAAGTTAATTCGCTTACTTTAGCCATATTTGTCATAAATGTGTGAGTATTTATGTCAGTTAAATTAACAAGTACTAGTTCATGAAAGGAATGGGATTTGAGATTTGGAACCTGAAAATATCTTACTTCATTTTTCCTTATGCCTCTGGGCTTTACAGTTTCTATTTCTCCAGTCTGCTGGTTTATTTCTAAAGCATTATTATTCACTTCAACTATTATTTTTCTAAACTGGGAACAAGGGGCTTTCCTAGCAGTTGGTTGAATAATCATTGTATTTGGGTCAAGAAATGCCATAATATCCTTTGAACCTGTTTTGACCTGAATCGGGACTAAATCAAAACATTCATCCATTTTCGTGTTAACAAAACTAAACTCATTTTCTTTTAATTTTATACAAGGCCAGACACTAAGTAAGGAGACCCCTTCTCGTTTTGCTACTAAATATTCATTATTGAAGACCATTCTTGCTAGGCCTGTAGGGTTTGATAAGTACGCTGCTACTGCTAACTTCTTTACTGTTTCCATGTGATCGCAGACTGCTTTTAGTGAATGAGCAAACGCGAAGGTCATAGTTTCTGCCCATTCTTTGTCTAAAAAGGTAAGTCTAGCTGCTAGCTCAGGTGCTGTTGCTAAGCCGAGGCTTTCTGCATTTTTACTACGTTTTGAGCGTTCAAGATGAGTTTCAGTTGCGAAACCTTGCTCAGAAATTTCTAAGTCCTTACCACAGTCTTGTCTTTTTGCTAATGGCTTTCCAAAATGTAAGGCTATTTGGGCGTCGTCAGATAACCATGTGTTGTCTAAAAATTTTCCTGTCCAACGACCTATTGGGACATATCGGCAAAAACTATTTTTGTTTATGGTCCATTCAAGAAACGTTTTGTCCTCTAATACACTGACCTTTATCATAAGAACAATTATGGGTGCCCCCTAAGGGTGTCCTTATATTCCTTTCACCCCAGTGAGAGTACACTTGTGTTTCAAATAAAATACAATTTTCAGATTGGACCTGAGTCCACGTAAATGATCCTATAAACCACATTTTTGGACTAATGTCAATTTTATTTCCAGTTGTAAAGACTTCATTTTCTTCCTTAAGTGACCCTAAACTGCACTTCTTTTCCTTTATCATCTTATTACACTCTTCTCTTGACACCTCTAACATTTCTGAAGATACTGGCTCAGTTATTGGGACATTAGTAATAGAAGTATATTTCTTAACTATCTTGCGTATTTTTCTACAGGCCCACGCGTCAGTCGCATATTCTAAGTCGTTAAGCATATAAACAGTTCTTGTTTGTGAAATAGGCGCGTGCGAAATGTTTGGTGTGAGCTTGGGACATTCAGATAGTTCAGGTAGGAACCATAAAAGACCTTGTTTCTCCATTTGGCAAATCATTGGCCATTGTGGTTTCGGTAAGTTTTCAAACCCTAAGACCGGAACTACCATTGCTAAAAGCATTAAAATTGTGAGTGGTAATAATTTTGGGCCTAAGCTCCTTCTGCCTTCCCAAGATAAGATTGCATTTTGTTTTGACTCTTTTTCATTTCTAGGACTTTCTTTAACCTTTTCAGATTTTTGGACTAACTCTAGATTTTGAACTGAAGGAATGTTTGAATTTTCACCCACCTTCATCTTTCTGATCGCATTTAAAATTTCTGATAGCATAGAATCATTTTGAATTTGGCCTGACCTGCTTTGAGATTGGCTTGTTCCTTGGCCTTCATATTGTCTGAAGTTAAAGCGTTCAAGTCGTTCACGGCAGTTGCTTGCAAAGTGGCCTACACGAGAGCAATAATTGCACACAGGTCTGTTGTTCCATCGGCGATCATTCGAGGGATTGCGGTTAAAGTTGTACATTCTTTGATTTGGCCTAGACCAGCTTCTTTGTTGATTGAATTGTCGATTCTGAAAATTCCGATCATTAGTTCTATCTTGGTTAAACCTCCAACCTTCACGAGGTTGTACTCTATTCGAATTAATTGGATTTAAAGTTTTGAAACGTCCCGAAGGACCCTGAGAACCTACGTACTGATTCACTTCCTGTATTTCGTTGACACTTGCTGTTGGGAATAACGGGTTACTCCTGCCTGGGATCATAATTTCCACTTCCCTAGCATCCATACAAAGTTGTTCAAATCCACGGTTGTTCTGAGTAAAGTTGAGGAGTTTCATGCAGAAAGCAATGTTAGGGAGAAGCCTTTCCAGTAAAAGATCACATAGATAACGTTCACGATGAGTACCAGCCATGTCTACTGCTGTTGCCAACGCTAGAGGTCTGAATCTTGTCAAAAATTCCTTGACTGTTTCATTTTCCTGCTGTTTACAAATTAAAAGTGCCTGTCGTGAGAGTGACCTACGCTGAGGAGAGTCGAGCTCTTCTCTTATACTTTTTAGTGCCTGTTCACAAGTGGTTCGCTTTGCGGGACTTAATTCCTCAAATATTTGTTTGGGTGTATCGTCCAAAAATATAGAGAGGCGGTTGAGCTTTTCTTCTTCAGAAAGCCTTGCCCCATACACTTTGATTCTTTCCATGAATTTCTTACTCCACTTATCTAGTGCTACTATGTTATCATCTGAAAATACCTCTAGGGAAGGAATGCCCTCGTTACTTAACATATTTAGTGTATGGTCATCCCCTTGTTCATCATCATCGATATGAAGATTATTATTAGCCGAAGCTTCTATAGCTGAGGAAAAGCTAATTTGAGGCTGCTCAAAAATTTTCTCATTTAAATTAACTTTGGGAGTTGACTTATTTTTGGGAGAGCACCTTATAGGCGAAAGTGATTTAGAGTGTGTGCGTTCAGTGCCAACCCCATTTAGTCGAGTAACACAATCATCTATCTGAGACCCTAGTGTTGCAAAACCTACATTAACTTCATTTGCTAGATTCGTTAAATTGTTGGCGTTAAGGTTTATTTTCCGGTTTATAGCTCTTAATGAACGATTAATACCTTCTTCAAGTCTGACTGTGTCCCCATGGACTTTTTCCAAGTCCGTAAAACGTGCCTGGTTTGTACCCACCTTTCCAGCTAAAAGCATTTTGTCAACTACAGCAATGGTCAATTCTTCATTTCCAACATTAATTTGTGCCGAGGCACTCGATGTCGTGACGTCCTTAGTGGACAGTCCACTGTTTGAACACATATAATTAAGCAGCTTTAATTTATTTAATTTCTAAAAAAATAGAATTAAAAAAAATTTCAATAAATGAATGGGAGATATGAATGACTAGGCTAACACTTAATGAAATTTATTAATGGACGTTTTTGTTTATCATCAGTTCCTTTCACATGAATTACACAAAACACTTTTAATTTTCATTAAAGCTTTGATTAACAATGATTGCTTTTAAATTTGCTAGTTTCTCACCTTCCTGATTTCTAATCTTTTGCAAGCTTTTTCCCTTTCTTTAAACTACTTTTCCCTTCCTTTAGGCTTCTTGAGAAACTTTTATTTTAAATTAATAATTTTCCTTTATATTACACCAATAAAAGCTTTCTTTACACTTTTGCCTTTTTTTTTTAATCAAAAAAAACTTCCTCCAATGTAGACTTTACCCTTTCTTTAAACAATCACAAAGTTTTCTTTAAGGTAAACTTTGCCCCTTCACTGGCAATCTTAAACCACTTTGGAAATTCTACTTCGTAATTTTTCTGACAGTACTCTTCATCTCAGACTCTGAAGGCTCTCAAAATAAACTGATACGGATAGACAATTAACAAGAGGAAATAAATAGTTGATACCATTAAGTAAATTTTGGAAAACAATAAAAATAGTAAAGGCACATTATTAGGGAAAATATATTGGGATAAGTAAAAAAAAATTTGAATTTAGAATTAAATGTATAAAGTGAAGCGAATCATAAGAAGCGAAAATAAAATTAAGAAAAACGAAACATATAACGCGAAAGTCCAAAAACGCGAAAATCCACGAAAGGCGAAACGCGAAACTGGCACACCCCAGGTATATATTAAATTATAATTTGGAGAATACAGTTCGACAAATTGAATATTTTTACCCTGTTTGGCATCTTTAAAAGGGACGTTTTGGACTCAGACCTAATGGGATTTTTCTGAACAGTGACATTTTGGGGTTGATACATTTTCAAGAAAAGGACTTCAAAGCGCCACACATTTAAATACATGCAATTGGAATGTAACTATAAAAGGACATACATTGAAAAACGCGAGGAATAAGGGAATATAGAAAACATTTTGCGCCTTTAAAGTCTAAAAATACAGCATAAATCTAAATAGATTTTTTTTAAACATGGGAGTAAAATTTTGTAATTAATGTCTTGGACCATGGTCCCTGCTACTACATAAGTAATAAGAATACAATTGCTAACCAATCTGACACCAGAGGTTTTTTTTTTTGAAAGGCAAATGGCTAAGGAGACTTCATTAAACAAGAAAGTGTAATTAATTTTAGCTCCGTAAAGTTCCAGCTAGTCTTGATCAAAACTGCACCGATTCTACTTCGTGTACCCTAAAAATTTTAGTTTGTACTGCTCTGTTCTAATAATAGAAATCGAATATTCTAGAGCTAAATGTTTTGATCATTTTATACATTTTTCTCTTTTTCCCCTTCTTTTTTTTAAATCTTCCCAAAAGAATTACACTTTCTTGGATAGGTTACACTTTCTAGAAAAATAGAGAAATTCACGTGAATGAAAAAAATGGTTAGAAAAGAAAACTTGGTTTGGCTGAAAATCATGTGTTCGGGAATAAAATATCTAAGGCTTTTGGTTTTAACTCATAGAAATTTTTCGGTCTTGGATACCTCTATCAAAGACTGTCTGAACAGGAAATGTGAGTACTTTAACAAAAGTTCTTTTATAGGACCTTGGTCCCGGATTTTGTGGAAAGTGTGCATTTAATTAGTACAAGTGTTAACCACTCGAAGAAAGGGTGTATAAATAATTCACAATCTCATATGTTACGGTATATTTTTGTCTGGGTGGGTCTTCTTGGCGCACGACTCTAATAGGAACATAGCCGACACTAAATTCATCGCAATTTTCTCCAGAGGAATTTTTGACTTGTTATAATACGAAATTTTATTTTACTATTTGAGTTTTTTTTGGTTTTTGCTTGCGCCCAACTGTTCATAGATACGTTAGAGATACTACCCCACACAAAAGGAAAGGAGAGGAGAAAAATTCTTTTAGCACCTGGAAAACCCAAAAAGATATGTCTAATTTATACACCCATTTTTCTTTTAAAATTAAACTTATAGTGCCATATTCTTCCGCCTCATCCACATCTTCCACAATTCCACCATGAGTTTGATCATAAAACTAAATTTCATTTGTCGTTCCGTTGTATATATTGCAGAATTCAAGATAATTATTAAAAAAAATTGGAGAGTGGAAATATGTGGGACAATTTGATAAAACAAGAGAAAAAATATATATTTTTTTTTTAGTATAAATGTGTGAGATTTAAACATATATAACTATATGAATTTATGATTGTCTAAATAGGTTTTTTTTGGGAGTAAAATTATGTACTTATTGTCTTGGACCACGGTCCCTATTTTCGGAGGTAGAATAACTTAATGAATTGTTTGGCATTATTTGACGAGGGAAATAAAAGGTAAAAAGGGAAAGAAAAAGGAAAACAAATGTTTGGAAATTTTTGACTAACTAGAAGTTATGTGATATTTTTACTTTAAACTTTTTGATTTAATAAAAAAAAGAAATTTTTTGATTTAATGAAGAAAAAGGAGAAAAACAAATTTAATATACAAATACCAAGCAAAGTTGATTAATTAAAGAGAATATAAAATCTAAGGTTTTTTAAAAAAATTTTAATTACATTTAAGAGTGACGGAAAATGTACAGAAATACGCTAATCGAAAAATTCATTCATTTAAGATCAGGGTTCCGATTCTTACTCCTTTTTTTTTATACAGTATGTACTTTTAAATCAGCATTTTGCTAAAAATTGACTTTAATCTTAAAATTCTCAAAATTTTCGCCTGCGGCAAAGAAAATGGTTTAATTTGAAGTGTACTTATTATTTGGAAATTTAGTCCCTACGTGCTTTTAAATCGAGTTTTGTCGATCGGAACCCTGATATAGACATTTACTAGTAGAGCAAAAAGGAAATAAGACATTAAATTTGAATGTACAAAAAAATTAATATGTGCCTAAGCACTCAAATATAAAATAACAAAACATAATTTTACACAAGCTGACTTTATAGAGAATAAAATAATTGTAAAGTAAAATTTTCTAAGGAAATGAAACCGTTGGAAGATAACCTTTGGTGTCTTTAGAAATGTTTCCTTTTTTAGATATTACATTTTTTTGCGGGAAAAGGAGAAAAATTATTTTTTTTTAGTTTTTTTTGAAATGGAACAAAGGAAATTAATCATCCCCCTTTTTGGGCAGTCTTTCCGAAAAGAAGGGCCAGACGGTTTTTCATTTTGGTATTGAAAAGAAAAAAAAATTTTTTTTTTAGCTCTTTCTTATGCATATACATACAATGAGTAATTATTCTTTTTTTTTTAGCCGTTAAAAAAATAAAACATTTTTCCCAAGAGAAGGTTAAATGTGTACAAAAATGGAAAATGTGAAGTGAAACGAAATTCACGTGAATAATTTTTAGTCGTTGATATTTCCCCCTTTTTTGAATTTGTTTCTAAATATAAGTTTTTTTTTGGTTGGGTTTTTCGATTCGGTTCGTTTTCGAGTTTTCCGGGCTGGAAAACTCTAATTTCTTACTAACTTCTAGCTACCCCCTAATAAGAACTTAATGTAAATTTATTTATAAAAGTGTAAATTTATTTATTTAATGTAAATTTATTTATATTTAAACTTAGCATACGGCCGAGGCCTCCTCAATACTTGTCAGTCATTTTGCGGTCGTCTCATCCTCTATTCCATTTCCCTCCTCTCCATTCTCGGGATTCAAGCCGGGCCCAGCTTTCATCCCTTGAGTGGAGAGGGCGTTGTTGTTGTGGTGCCGAGGCTCACTCCACTGCTGCCAGGGATGGTCTGCCTTCTCCGAAGATCAGGCAAACCATCCGGTGCTACCAGAAGAAGTTTGCTGAATCCATACCCAGTGTAGAGCCCAGGATAATAGAATATGAGGGAATACTAATTAATTAATGTTGTTAGTAGTCCGGCCGGACAATATTCACCGCTCACTCCTCAAGAGCGATTAAACGGGCGACGACTAATTCCTCCGATCGGGCAATAAATATATTAGCGCTTATTCACTTTATTAATTGACTGACTAATAAGCTGACTGATTGAATGACTGATCTCTTCCTTCACTTATTCCTAGGATTATATTGGTTATGGATAGGCGGGGTCGCTGGGAAAGTTTTGTTTAATATTTCTCAATCCTATTTCCGCCTTACAATATTTAAATTTAAAACATCAAAAAAATAAAAATATTTTTTAACAAAATATACGTTTATCTGATAAAGGACTGTCGAGCATTCTTGTTATATTTCCGCATTTATTTTGGACCAAACAATCAACAAACATTCTTTAATTTTACATTTATATACATATTATCAGAGTAGTACAAAAATATTTTTCAAAAATGTTTTAAAACTCCAGTTTAGATCAGTGATGCAGAAGTTCCGAAATTTCTGTGGAACCGGTTACTGTTCTGGAACTGCTTTTTTAATTTTGGCGGTTCCAGTTCCAAATTTTTTTAGCTATTTTAATAGAAAATTTATTTTTTTCATGAATAAGGGGCAGATCAATTATATTGATAATGTAATCAACTGTTAAGTTGTATCAATAATAGGGTTGTTGACTCCACCAAATTCTTCGGTTAACCGAAACCGAACCGATTTATAGGGATTTAGGGCTAGTTCAAGGGATTTCAGTGATTTAGAGGGATATTAAGGATTTTGGATTTGAAGGGATAGGCGGGATATTGTTTTTGTTTTTTCCAACCCCAATACTAATGTTTCTAGTTGAAGATCCGGAGTTCGATTCGTCTCGACGAGCTGAGTCGAACTCACTACTTTAGGAAATAATTCTGGACCGAGTTATTGTCCCGGAAAATTGAAAAACCACAGGTAAAAATTAGAAAATACAAATGATACCTCATTCGAAAGAGCTCTTCGAGCTGCGTCGAATGACACCAAAATCTTTAAAAAATAAATATTGAAACTCTTACTCAAAACATGCACAAACAACAATTTCACAATCATTTTCCGTTGAAGAGCATTTAGAATATATTTTATCACACGCTTCGTCAAAAAAATGTTTCGGATAAGTTTCTTTTGTACATGCTCTTTTAACTGCGAACGAGTCTATACATTCAGTAACATCAGTCCAGCATCTGGAATTTATTATTAAAATATGTAGTTTAGTGAATTTTAATTTAAAAAAGGCTGAGAAAGTATAAAATTTACAGAAAACTCTGATCTATGCGTTTAAGAAGAAAAGGCAAGAAAAATATAAATTATTTTTGTGATTTTTAATTAGAAATGTTTAGAATTAATTAAACATTTCTAAATTAATTTAATAACATACACGCAGTGATCATCTGCACGATATTCCATCACAGTTTCGCATTGTGCAACTGTCGCTTTTTCACCGTTTGTGAAATAACAAAAATTAATTAACAAAAATGGAAATAAAAGAAAAAAATTCATTTAATTAATTAATTAATTATTTTTTATTTAATTAAAGAAATATTTTTTTATTTAATAAACTTTCAAAACTAATTATTCTTTCTTATTTATAACAAAATAAAACAATTATTTATTAATTAATCAAAATTTAATTTATTTTTCTATCAAATTTAAATGAAAATTTTAAAAATACTGAAATTTTAATTAATTAATTTTAAACAAAAAATTAAAATAAAAACCAGTTAGGCAGTTTGATTTAAATTTTTAAATATTGTTTCAAACTGATAAATTAAAGTAAAGTTAAATATTTACTCTCTTTAATTTAATAAGAAGTAAATAATTTAATTGTTTTTGTTGACTGAAATAGATATTAATATAATAGTATGTCCTTATTTTTTTTCAATAAACAATACAATATAATTATTTAATAGAACAGCACTCTACGATTAAATCACACCCTTTAATATAAGCTACCCATAGTTTATCTACTTGACTGGCCGGAAAAAAAGAAGATTTTCCGCAGCCGCAGAAAATTATTTTTAAAATCCGCTGCCAGCGATCTGGGGATATAAGGGGATTTAAGGGATTAAGGCTTGGTTCCAAGGATAGCAGTGATTTGTGGGTTATTAATGAGTTAAAGGAATTTATTTACAGAAATTCTGAACCGGATCCGAACCAAAAATTGGATAATCGGTTTAAAATTTTTTTATTAAAATAGTTAAGATCAAAGTTAGTTAATTGATGTTTAATTCAGACACCAGTTTACAAAGAGTTTAGACAAAGTTATGCAGTGTTCGGCATAGATGCCGGTACAGTTACCCTACCGGTCAAAGTAAAAGAGGTTTTACCGATTTTGGTACGGAAAAATTGAAAAAGTATGGAAAATATTGAGTTAAACTTTAAAATAAAAAATAATAGAGTCGATAAAATTTCTATTGACCATTTTGAACAATAAATTTTTGCAACTTTTTTAATATAAAAATACATATAATTAAGTAATCTTTTCAAAATTTCTTCATTCAATTCTTTTCAAAATGTTCATTTAATAAATTGTTAAGACCTAAAATTGTATCAGATGCTCGAACACCTAAATATTTAAATTTAAAATTAGAATTATTAAAAAATATTTTTTCATTAAAATATACGTTTATCTGATGTTGAACTGCTCAAAAATTTTTCACATTTATCTTGGATCAAACAATTAATAGACAAACTTTAATTTATATGTATATATATTTGTATATTATTAAGGTAGTAATAAAACATATTAAAACACATTTTGCACGAGATCATGGCCGCGACGTGATTTTTTCAAAAATTTTTTTGAAAACTTGTATTTTGCAAAAAATATTTTTTAAACTACAAATTTCTCAAATGCCAAGATATGCACAAATTTTTTCACAAATATACAGAATATCAACAAAAATATGCATCGATATGCAAATATGCACTAGATGCCTAAATATGCAATCAAAAACATGGTCCTAGGTGCTCGAACCAGATTAGAAACACCACTTTTGTGTTTATCTCAACATGAAATAGCCGCTTACAGAAAATGTTTTAACATGTTTTCCTGACCCTATTAATAATTAAAGAAAAAGTAAAACCCCCTACTCAAAACATCCACAAATATCACATTCATTTTCCGTTAACGAACATTTAGAATACATTTTAGTACACAACGTTGTTTCAGTTAAATTAGCGGGAAAATCCTCTTTTGTACACTTTCCTTGATTTACTATTGATGTTAGACATTTACTAAAATCATTTGTGCAGCTGAAATTTATTATTATTAAAAAAGTTTAAGAAAGCTTGAAAAATATGTACAAATTCTGATCTGAGATTTTAAAAATAAAATGTAAAATATCTATTTATTTGATAGATATAATTAGAGATAATTAAAATCTCTAAATTAACAACTACATAAATATAATTAACATACACGCAGTCATCTTTTATTACATAATAATCAACGATAGTTTCACATTGTGCAACTGTTGCTTTTTCACCGTTTGTGAGATAACAAAAATTAATTAACAAAAATGGAAATAAAAGAAAATAATTCATTTAATTATTTTTAATTTAAAAAATATTTCTTTTTATTTAATGAACTCTTAAAACGAATTATTCTTTATTATTTATAATAAAATTAAAAATTATTATTTAATAATTAATCAAAATTTAAATTATTTTTTTATCAAATTTATGTTTCGGTTTATATAAAAAATTTTAAAATAAAGACAGGTTTTAAAAGTTCAAAAAAAATAAATTATTTTTGTTTATTGAAATAAATAAATTGTTTTTAAATAATAAAATTAAAATAAATTTGAAAATAAATGGTTAATTCTTTCATACATTCAGCAAGGTGAAGTTTTTTTAAAATACAGATTCAATAAAGCAAAATATAATTTTAATCACAAAAACTAAATTAAAATAAATCAGAAAGAATTTTGTTTGGTAAAAAAGAGAATTTAAAAATACATACATGTATCATTAAGTATAGCTTCAGGAGCTAGCAAAATGTCAGAACAAACTTTTTTTGCTTATTTTTGCTTTGGGGTTATTATGTACAAGTTATTCGAACAGAATAGCAAATAATTATTTTATGCCACCAAAATATAAATTATTAGATTAATTTTCAATTTATTAATCCGTCTGGAAAAAACACTGAGTAGTTTTGTTGCCAATTGTGAAGTATTTTTGGATGTTGAATAAATAATTCAACAAATCTAAACCTCTAAGCAAACTTTAATAAAAGTTAACTAGTAAGCGACATCATCCCCAGATACTTCCTTAATCGCGCCAAATCCTTTATATCTCATTAAAACCTCTCCTTTCAATTTGAATATGCCAAAGGGAAATAGAAAGAAATTGAGGAAGGAAGTCTGACTACCGTATTATCTCTAATAGAATGCCCGGGCATTCTATTTTTCAATCACCTTCCAAAGGGGCATTCTATTAGAGGGGGGCATTCAAATGGAAGGGGGCATTGTATTTTTCGATGACTAAATTTTAAAGTTTGAAAATATTTTTATCACAAAATTCTAAAATTTTATAAAATAATTTGCAGCAACAAAATTAAAATTTTTTACAGTTCCAAAGAATTATCGCTTAAAATACCATTTTCCTCATCCTGCATTAAATCAACCTCTTCAAATAATCCAGTTAACTCATTAAATTCATTTTCTTCTCTTTCTTTCCTCATCAGTTCAGCTCCGGATGGAATGGGACCGGTCGGCTTAAAAACATGTATTTTATCGTCTTCTGAACCATCAACATTGTTCGAGATTCCACAAATTTTAAAAGAATTTGCTATCATCTCTTCTGGCAAATTCTCCCACGCTTCTGTAATCCAGTTCAAATATACTAGCATTGGTGGTGCCTTTACATTTCCTTTTGACGTTGTTTCTTTTTCTCCGTGAAGCATCCAATCCTCATACGACTGTCTGATTTTTGCTTTAAATGGCGCATTCCAACACACATCAGCCATCTATTAATTAATGTTTATTATGGATTAAATTTAAGTAACGAACTTGAAGAAATTTTGTTGTCCCTCCAGGAATGACCGCTGTCTCAATTCTTAATTTTGTCAACACAGTTTTAGTAGCGTGTGAAATGTGTGATCTATAATATAAAATACTTATAGAAACTAATTACCATTATTCTAAATGAGAAAAACCTGAATGAATCCCAAACAAGAAGTCTATTTCCAAAAAGAAAATTTCCAAAAACTTTATTCAAATAGAGTTCAGTAAGTGAATCATCCATCCAAGTTCTACCTGACCAACAAAGAATCAATTTGTTTTTGAATTTCTCTGTGACAGCAACAACAGGACGTTTGCGAGGTAAAAGAACGAATGGTTTGCATTTGTAACCATCAGCTCTAGCTGTCAACAAAACTGTAAGCCTCATTTTTTCGTGGCCAGTAGATAAAACCGAAACCTTAGAAGATTCGAGTAAAATTAAAAATCCTATTAAAAACCTCCTTAGCACCTCGCTTTTCAACCGAATTCCCACCAGTGTCCAACCAAACAGATGTCTCATCACAACCATAAATTCTGTTACCAAAATGTTTATTCATACGGAGTTGTCGAACATACATTAAAAATTGAACAATTGTTTTTTCATATTGGATAGGGGGTTTTTGACACGCGGTAGTGGGCCTTCGATTAGACAAATTATGACGTCTGAGAAATTTTTCCAGCCAACCTAGGCTTGCCTTAAATTTATAAATAAATATCCACATATTTCTAAGTTATTAATAAACCTTAAACTCAGCATTTTCTTCATCATCGCCGTCCTCTGACTTCTCAAAAAATTTTAGCGCTTGTTGTTGTATTAAGCGTCGAGAAACTCTTTGTTTTTCTTGACGACGACATCGAATCCATTCAATCAGTTTTTCATCTAAATTTTTGTTAAGAAGATGACGGCCAGCACCAGCCAAACGCTTTTTTGAATTAGAATTTGATGTTGCCTCACTAAAAATATAAATTGAAATTTTAGGGAAAATAAGTGACTTACTATAATGTACTAAGTTCTTTCTCCTGTTTGATCCAATTCCGTAATGAACCTCTTAGAACTCCAAATTTTCGACTTGCTGAATGTATTGAATTATGCTTAGAAAATTCAATTGCATCAAGTTTTAATTTTAATGAATAGGAACGTCGACATTTTTTGGGTTTACTTGGACCAGGCTCATTTTCAGAATCACTTATATTTAATACATCAACGTCTGAATCAGTCATTTCACTAAAATAAAAGATTCGAAGAAGATAAGAATTAAAAATAATTTTTATATTGTTTGAATAATAGTTCAAAAAATGGCAAGAAAAATAATTAAAAGTGAATATGTAGTAAACGTTTTAAATGTAAATAGTATTTAATATCTTTTTTTATTTAGAAAAATTTCAGTAAAAAAAGGGGGGCATTCTATTAGAGGGGGGCATTCAAATGGAGGGGGGCATTGTATTTTTCGATCTTCCGCTAGAGGGGCATTCTATTAGAGGGGTCAATTACTATAAAGGGCGAAAGAAAAAAAATTTAGAAAAAAATTAATCACGTCTTCAACGCAGACTTCGATAAATTGGCTTTTGCGCATTTTTAGATGGGCCAAATTAGGGGATGGAACATTTTGGTGATTTTTTTCAGTGGGACATTTTTGGGGTTTGGTTCAGGGGGAAAATTACGGGATTTTTGTTCAGAGAGAAATTTTGAGGGATTTTGTTCAGGGGCCATTTTGGGGGCCTTCTCTTTTTTTGTTCAGGGGCCATCCTCTTCAGTATCTTCAGTATTTTTAGAATTTTGGAAGGTCATGAAGCCAAATTTTTTCATTTTTTTTTTCTCAAATTTATGAAAAATCCCAAAATTTTGATAAAAATATGCAAAAATATTAAATAATTTGCAAAAAGTGCGAAATATTGGAATAACGGGAAAATTTGCAAAATATTGAAATATATTGAAATGTAACTTTGTTCAAAATCATAATATCGAAAAACTAATGGCAATTCCTTTATCAAACCTTAATCCAATAATATCTTTTAAACCCCACTTGATCAATCCAGAACCCATTTTATCATACGATATTGATCCCTTTATATCCCCAAAATTCACTTTTGCCCACCAATTAATCGGATTATATCTCTTTAATACTCGAAAAATTTTAGGTTAAAATTTTGGTTAACCGAAAGCTGTTCGGTTTTGTTTATCGAAGAATCAAGTGAACCGACAACACTACTTAGAATAAATAAGATAATTCAATGAGTCTCCTATTATTTTTTCAAATATAGGGGAAAAATATTTTAGGGGTGAGTACTATTTTTAGGGGGAGTACTAATTCAGGGGTGAGCACTATTTTTAGGGGGAGTACTAATTCAGGGGGAGTACTATTTTTCAACCCTCCTCCAAAAGGGAGTATTATTTAAGGGGGAGTACTAATTCAGAGGGGAGTATTACTTTAGGAAATACCGTATTTGATTAACAAAGAGTAGTATATTGATTATCAAAAGATTTTTCAATTTATTTCATGGGACGCATAACTTTTTATGGGACGCATAAATTATTTTTGGGACTCATAAATTTTCATGGGACGCATAAATTTTTATGGGACGCATGAACTGGACAAGAGCCGAACTTTTTTGAAAGAAATGGAAAAAATTTGACTTTGGCTCTTCAAAAAATCTAAAGATCTTCGCCTGCAGCGCAAAAATTGTGGACGACAAAACGCGGATGACAATTCCGGATTGACTTTTGCGGATTTAAAATATTGAAAAAAAATTTTTAATTATTGAAATGGGATCCTTTTTTAGTGCTGAAAAATTTTAAGAAAAACACCAAAATATTGCAAGAAAAATAGAAAAATATTGAGTTTATTTTAAATGTATTTTAGAAATAATAAAATTTATAAATTTCTTATTAAACTTTTTAGCATTAATTATTAAAAGACTTCTTTACACTAAAAATAAAATTCAGCAATTTATTCAAACTTTCTTTTATTCAATTTTTTCAAAATTTGCATCATATAAATTGTTAAAACCAAAAATTGTATCAGATGCTCTAACACCTAAATAGTTATATTTAAAACATAAAAAAATAAAAAATTTTTGTTTTATACGTTTAACTGATGTTGAACTGCCATTCGATTTTTTATATTCACATTTATTTTGGATAAAACAATCAACAGCCGTACTTTAATTTAATTTTAAAATATATACATACATATGTATACATATGTTTTTTACATTATTAAAGCTGTATTAAAACATAAAATCACATTTTGCACGAGGCCTCAACTCAATTTTTTTGAAAAAAAATTTTTTCAAAAAAAAATTGAGTTGACTTTTTAATTTTTAGATTTTGAAATTGACTTTGGAGTCAAAATAGAATGCCAAGAGATTTTTACAATTATGCAGTATATCAGTCAAAATGGCGCGCCCTTAAAATGTCCTACCCTTAAAATGTCTTGATGAACAAAAACCCTCAAAATGTCCTAATGAATAAAAACCCTTAAAATGTCCTCCCTTAAAATGTTCTACCCAAAAAATGTCCTAATAAACAAAAACCCCGAAAATGTCCGGAAACCATTTTCCGGATTTTCGGGAAACATTTTTTGGGTTTTCCGGTAACCTTTTTACCGTATTTTAAATTAAAATTACCTGGATTCCAAAAAAGGAATGGGGTAGGACATTTTTTGGGTAGAACATTTTAGGGGAGGACATTTTAAGGGTTTTTATTCATTAGGACATTTTAAGGGTTTTTGTTCATCAGGACATTTTAAGGGTAGGACATTTTGAGGCGCAGCTGTCAAAATAAATATGCATCGATTGCAAATCAACACGAGATGAACTAAATATGCAAAAGTATGCATTAGGATGTTTCCAACTTGGAAACACATTTTTGAGCTTATCTTAACATTGAATAACACATTGAATTTATATTTAAAGAAATAAAAAGTAAAACCCCCTACTCAAAGCATCCACAGATTCCAATTTCACATTCATTTTTCGTTAAAGAACATTTTGAATGCACATTAGAGCAAGGTTTTTCAATAAGTTTAGTAGGAAACCCCTTTTTTGTACACTTTCCTTCAGATATTAATGATATTAGACATTTAGTATATTCAGTTTTGCACCTGGAATTTATTATGTATCTTTAAAAAAGTTTGAGAAAGCATGAAAAATAAAAAAAATTCCGACTAAGATTTAATATAATTAACATACATGCAGGAATCATCTACACGATATCCCATCGCAGTGTCGCATTGTTCAACTGTTGCTTTTTCACCATTTGTGAAATAACAAAAATTAATTAACAAAAATAAAAGAAAAAAATTCATTTAATTAATTTAAAGAAATTTATTTAATGAACCCTTTAAGGTTAATATTCCTACTTATTTATATTAAAATTTAAAAATTATTATTTATTAATTAATCAAAGTTTAAATTATTTTTTATCAAATTTATGTATCGGTTTAAATAAAAATTTTAAAATAAAGACAGGTTTTTACTACTTAAAATAAAGACAGGTTTTTTACTACCGCGGTATTACTAGTATCTGATTTTTTAAAGAAAAACTAAAAAAATATTTAAATTAAACTGAAAAATATTGTAAGAATTTAAAAAATTTTCCTTCCAAATCACATGACATCCCTTTAAATTTTTTGATATCACTTTAAATCCGCTGATATACCGTTAATTTTTTTGATCATCCGATATCCTTTAAATCCCCGATTAGATTATTGTTCAAGAGCAGGGTTCGGATCGGAAAATTTAAATATGAGGTCCGACACCGGGGGAGGCTTTTCCCAATTACAATAGTTGACCCATTTGCGGGATATGTTTTTCCAACCATTGAAAATGTTGTTAAAACAACGGTCAAAAGTTCAAACAAGCGGAGGTTGTTCCATCTAGCCGGTAAGGGGAGTGTACTCAATATAACTGCTCACTCTATATCCTATCTAATTAGAATAACAGAGAAATCTCAAAGATTTTAGGGAATATGGTGAATTGGGTGGATTAAGGAGGAAATCTATCATTAAAGAGGAGGAGAGATTATGAGATATCAATGAGAGATCATGAAGATATCCCAGATATACTAGACAGATTCCTCTATAGATCCCGGGGAAATATCTCCTTATTAGGAGATATTCATGATGATTATAACATCATAGCTCAAATTTTATAATCTCTCACGTTTTTTTCTTTTATATTAAATTATGTGAACGAAAAATGCTAGAAAAAGATGTACCTTTTTCAAAGCAAATTTTCACCACTAATTTTTGAAGATAAAATTATAAATTTTACATCAAAAGATAGAGGATGATTCAAACTTTAATAATCTTTTAAAATTTTGAAATTTGGTTAAGTTTAGGCTGAGATAAAAATTTTTAAAAATTTCCACCTAAGCTTCGCAGATCCAAAAAGCATGGTGGAAATTTAGCAAATTCTGTGTATTTTTCCACAGAATTAAAAACCGCAGAAAAACGGAGAAATAGAAATGCTCAGAATCGACTAAAAAAGCCACAGATCTGTGGATATTTTTCTGTGGACGCAGAAAAGTGCAGAAATAGAATTCTGTGGTTTTTGCATGTTTTTGGATGTTTTGCAGAATCTGTGGATGTTTCCACAGAATCTGTGCATGTTTCCGCAGAATCTGCGGACCCCTTTTTCCGCAGAATCTGTGGAAGTGCAGAAATAGAAATTCTGTGGTTCTGTGGTCTGTGCACAGAATCCTATCCGCAGAATCTGTGGAGGGGAGAAATAGGCCCCAGAAAGATGAAGTTTTTTTTTATAAAAATACAGATTCAATAAAGCAAATTCTAATTATAATCACAGAAACTAAATTAAAATAAATCACAAAAAATTTTGTATGGTAAAAGAGAATTTTAATAAAATATATAATTAATATTTTCAATAAAAATCAAAACATCTTAACAGATTTAGCAAAGCTGTAAAGATTTTGAGAATTTTCAAAGAATATTTAAAAATAATTTTTGTGGTAAAAAGTTTTTTCCATTAAATATGCCTTTCAATTATTCAATTTCTTAGAGAATTTCAGAGCATGATGGTAGAACAATCCAAATATAGATACCGTATATGCTCTAATAGAACCTCATGTGCCTGTATTTTTCGCTCCTCACGTGGTTTGGTTATATTAGAGAGTGTGCTTCTTTCAGAGAGTATGTTTCTATTAGAGCATTTACGGCATTTCGAGAAAGCAAAAAGCGAAACTTTGTATAAATATTATAAAAGAAATTTAAATAGGTAATAAATATTGGGAAAAATAAAAATTTTTACAAACATAATTTAAAAAAAACTTGGGAGAAACCTACCGTATTTATTCGATTAATTCCCCTGGGGAATTATTTTTTCACCCATCCATGGCATGGGGAATTATTCAGGGGAGGGGAATTATTTTAGTTTTGGCATTTAAACGTGTAGTAGGGTATTTGGGGAAGGGGGATTATTGTTTCAACTCATCCGTAGCAGGAAAAATCGTGTCACGACACTTGCAGATATGACATTTGCAGAATTAATATCTGCAAAAGTCGGGTCTGCAAATGTCTGATCTGCAAGTGTCATATCTGCAAGTGTCGTATGACCGGAAAAATTATTCGAGGGAGGGGAATTAATCGAGTAAATACGGTATTAATATACAACTGTTTAAGCCATAATAAAAGGAAAAAGTCTTCATGTATTTTTATTTTTTAAATAATTAAAAAAAATTATTTAGGAATCATTATCGGATCAGAACCTTTCTTTTCAGAATCCTTCAAAGCCTCCATCACAGCTTTAATATACAACTGTTTAAGCCATAATAAAAGGAAAAAGTCTTCATGTATTTTTATTTTTTAAATAATTAAAAAAAATTATTTAGGAATCATTATCGGATCAGAACCTTTCTTTTCAGAATCCTTCAAAGCCTCCATCACAGCTTCCTTAACATTATTTGCAATAATATTCTCGTTATATTCAATAATAGCCAAATAAACAATATTTCCAACATTTTTATTAAAATTTTCTTCCCAACTTTGGGAATTTTTTGAAGAATTTATAGAGTCTTTTAAAATTTTATCTTCTTCAATATCCCCTCTTTCCAATTTTTTATTTTTTAAATGATCCAAAATTAATTTTCCTTTATCTTTGTGTATTTTGCCACAATCTGTTTCCTTCCCAATATCACAAAGATAAGCACTTACCCAATGAATTAAAGGAACTGACAACTTTTGAAAATCTAAAGAGTTCCAATTCCACTCCTTTTCGGCGTGTAATTTCAGCTTTTTAATAATAAAATCAAATAATTCTTTGTTGTTTGAATAAGGATGAAATTCAAAATCCTGGGGTCCATGTACTTTATTAAAAAGATTGGGTAACCAATAGAGTGAATCTGTTTGGATTTGGAAAGGGCCTAGAAAAATATAAATTTTAAATTAAATTAATACTTATGTATATTAGTTCTATTTATGTATATTTTATACATAGATAGTAAGTTGCTTAGTCGATACTTTGTTTTCTAATACAATAAGCTCGAATCTTATATCAGATTGAGCATATATAAAGGGTACAACACATACTGCCTATAACCCTGAATGCCTAAACAATTTTGATCAACACAATGGATTCATAGGGGATATCTGTAGATTTGAAGGTATTTCTGTTGATTGATACTTAATGTAAATAACATTTATGTGGTATTGCTAGGGCGTGGATTGCTTTCTTGAAAAAGAACGTTAATAGTAAAATTAGCCCTATCATCGGGTGTGAGTTAAGTGAACCTTTTCCACAATTACTATTCTATTACCACAAAAATGCAACTTCCAAAATATAAACGGTTTCAATATAAGGTTGTCGGATTTCGAAAGATCATTGTGTATAAAGCAAAGGACTACACAACCACAAATCACTTTTCTATATTTCCAGCTTCCCTACCTTCATATTTTTCAATGCCTTCGTAGTCCTTCTCAAAATTTAGGGAAGATGTCGTTTCTGTCGTTGGCCTAAATTTTCCTTTCCATCCCAATTCGTTTTGTATTGTTGTTACAAAATCACGCATAAACGTTACCTCTTCAGAAGAGTATGATAAAAGAGAGGGGTCATAGTAGCCAGGTATAGGTGCGAAATATGTAGTCAAAAGGTCCAGATTTAAGACCAATTGAAAAAATTGGAAAAGAAGGCCGAACAATAAAGCATCTGTCTAAACATAAATAAAATAAGTATAATAATCCCGATTTTCTAGGGACATTGGTAAAAAATGGGACGTTCTTGTAACTTTTTGTGGACTTATCCCTATATAGTTCCCTGTGTTTTTAGTGGGATTCTCTCTGAGTAAATACTAAAAGGAACGGAAGGAGGCAAGAAAAGACTGCAACTAAAAACTCCGGTTTCTTTACAAGTACCAATTTAAGAAGTCATATTTCCAGGGATCTGTTTTAAAACAGAGAATTTTGATATTTTTTGTCAAAAATTATCCAACCGTTTTTGTCAAAATTTAAATACCTCTAAAACAGATAATTCCCGAAAAATGTTTGTTTTCAAAAACAAAACTAAAAACAAATCTGGCTTAAGTTCGAAAAAACCTGGGGACTAAAAACTAATATAAAAATAATATAATAATTATTTACAAATGTTGGTTCATTTCCAAACAAAAATTTGTGTTTTTTATGTTCTCTTGCTTTAATCTGTTTAACAATTATTTCCATTTTATGGTCGAAATATAATTTTAATTTCTCCCCGTCAATCTTCATAAAATTAGAATTTATTGAATGTGTTAACAAACCAACTCTCCATTTTTCTTTTATTTTTTCCGATTTTAAATAATTTTTTATCTAAAAATTTGAATTTTGTTTGGTATTGTTAGACGAGCACGCCCCAAGGTATCGCAAGGCGAAGGTACTCTTATAGGGATGGGTCCTACTTACATAGTTCAAAGGTCCTACTTAGATTCGAGCATCTCGACGTGCTGAATCGGTCATTCCAGGACTTCCTGGATTCAATAACTTTGATTCCAGTAGTTTACTTTGGCCTACCCTAAAAAGCAGAGTTTCCATATCTGGCTGGATCTAGTATACTCCATATAAAGCAGGAAAAATGCTTTTAATGTTTATCAGTTAATGATAATTAAAAACTACCTCAGCTTCCCAACTTCCCTTGGTTGCCCTGAATTCATTCCACATCATTTCATTTATCAATGGAACTATCCAACTTTCAAAAAGAATCAGATCACTTTCATTTAATTCAACCTTCCTTTCCATTCCCCACCAAGCACTTGCCGCCGACCCACTCGAAGAAGAAGAAGAACCAATACCTTTTGGGTGTTTGAAAGATTTTTTATTTTTTGGATTAAATTCATAATATTCTTCTTTCATAACACCCTTTGACTTTGCTGACGGTTCTAAGGGTAAATGTCCAGTTTCAGTTCCACTAACCCTATATTTTGATAACATTTCAAGACTTTCTTTCAAATGTATTCGATTTTCATTTTTACTCATTTTAAAATAATCACTCCAAAAATCTAAATTTAACGACATTCGAAAACCGTTTGATCCTTGTCCAAAACATTCTTTAATATTTTCACCAATTTCCTCAATTTCCCCACACTTTCCTTTACTTTCTTTTATTTCAAAATTTTCAAAACCAAATTCAGTTCCAATGAGTTTTACCTCTTGTATTGGATTTTGGGCAAATTTTAATTTTAAAATTGGTTCTTGTACGGCCACATCATTCATTAAAAATGTTAGACCCTCACCGCTAACACGGTCCTTCAGTAAAATTCTAAAAAATAATTTTTTAATTTTGTTGTTCCTGCTAACCAATCGACTGTTCTTAAATATTTTTTATTTCGATTTTAGAAACTTTTTTGGAATTTTCAATCTAAGAGTTCAGGCATTTGGGCTATCTCTTTTATCGAAACCTCCAATCTTCGGGGACACATTTCTAATGTAGAATGATTTAGACCCGTACTGAAAATCAATTCTATACAAGGGATCGGATTGGTTAAGAAAATAAGTCCGGTCGGGTTACGGTTCAGATATCAAAATTTTCTTCTTTCTATGCGATTTTTGAAATTTGTAGGCCACCGGAAACCCCCAATTTTCATTCCATGGATCCGATGTTACGTCCATAACATAAGAATATTTTTACGTGTTTATCAGCTTTTTCTTACTTGTAAATTTCCCAAATGCTATCTTCAATTCCTTTGGCAATTGCAAGTTTTCTTTGTTTTACACTTTCTTCGTCTAATTGCAATAGACATGTTGCTTTAGAAAGAAAATTTGAGAAAGTTTTGTTTCTAGCAAGCCTTTTAGCGTGGTGTGCAACTGGTGAATTTTGTAATGAACGAGGTGAAAATGGGGAGGAGAAGAATGAAGAAATAGAAGAACTTGGTGAATTTAAAGTAGGTGATGGAGAAGGAAATGATCCCTGAATATATTAATTTTGTTTGAAAGTTTATTAAAATTATTTCTGAGATTTTGAAGCTTGGCCCTTTTGCTTGGCCCTTTTGCAAGCAAAGATGCTTGGCCCTTTTGTTGAAAAATTTGAGGCTTTTTTGAAAGCCTTTATTAAGGCTTTTAGTAAATCAACTGATAAATAGACATAAAAAAGGGAATAAACTTTTTGGAATAAACGGTATACGGGGAATGTAATATTAAAAAAGGCATGTCCAAAAATAGCACAAACTTCTATCTTGTCTTTTATTTTTTCAAATTTTATTTTAATTTAAATATTTTTTGTATTTCCACATCCCATTTGTCTATTCATTTGTCTAACTACACCACTCAAATTTTAACCATTAAAGAAACTCACCGGTAAAGGACTGCTCGAAGCCCCCATGCTTTTTGATGAAGACAAAGTTTCCAAAGAGGATGCATCATTCATGGAGCTACTAAGAGGGGATGATGAAAACCCTAAAGAATACCCCCCATCCTTAATTGACTCTCCAACACTCAAACATTCATTTTCTTGTTGTTCACTAGGCTTTAATTTTGAAATAATTTCTTTAATTCCACCAAAATATTCCCCATTATATTGAATAAATGGGACTTCATTTTCTTTGGATCCAAGCATAAATTGGTTGCTAATTCTCTTTAAAACAGTTTAATTTTTTGGTAGAGTAAAATTTTTAATTTTCTCACATGAAAAGGAATTTTTTCAAGTCTCAACCAAGCTTCTAAAGCTAAACAAGGAACACAATGATTAGCTACCCTTGTTGTGCGCGGAAACATAAAAAGATAAACAACGTCATCTTTTGCATTTGGCACAAGCAAAGGAGCATTTTCTTTCAATTTTTGTATAACACCTGAATATTTTAATTATTTATTTTGGCATGGACTTGTTTTGGATAATTAAAAGCTAATAACTTTAGTTAAACACCCGTTTTTCTGTCTAAAATTTGTCCTCATAAACCAAAATTCTTTTCTCTCACATAATACAAATATTGTGAATTCCGTCAAACTTTAAGCCGTAAGTTAACAAAAATCTGAGTTGGATTTTCTGTTCCCTGGTGTGGGTCAAAGAATTCTCAGACCGATTTCATTATAGTAAATTATTTACTAAAAATTCCCAAAAATCTGTATTATACATAGCAGGGTTGCCGCGGGTACAAAAAATCTTCGGGTACGGGTTTCGGGTATCGGGTTGGAGCGTTTTCATTTCGGGTCACGGGTTTCGGGTTGGCAAAAATATCGGGTACGGGTTTCGGGTTTCGGGTTATAAAATTTTCATTTCGGGTCACGGGTTTCGGGTTGGCAAAAATTTCGGGTACGGGTTTCGGGTTTGGCGAAAAATTCGGGTTATTTTCGGGTGTTCGGTTATTGGTGAACTAAATTTAAGGATACAAGCTAGTATGTTGCATAATAGCATTTTGGGTGATATAGAGTAGGCAAATTTGAAGAGATTAAAGAGACATTGTGGGATTTGGAGATTAAGATATACTTTTTGCAAAGATATATCAGGATTAAAAGATATATCGAGAGATTCAAACACTTGTTAAATAGGATTAATAAAGATTGTGAAGAAAGACCTCCAAGCATCCTATATCACTTGATATATATTCAAATCCCTTCAATGATATCAGATGATTGATATCAGATAATTAAGGCAGATATAATGATTTAGAGGATATCGGTGGATTAATCAACAGGTCCCTTGATAAAATCCCACTATATACTAATATCCCTCCGCTTTATTTCCATTAAAGCCTCCAATTTTCTCCCGTTTTCAGCGCCGCAGGCGAAAATTTTGGGAATTTTGGAAGACCAAAAAGCCAAAGTTCTTCCATTTTTTGCGCCGCAGGCAAAAATTTTTGAGAATTTTAAAGGCCAATAGGCAATATTTCTTCTTATTTCAGCGCCGCAGGCGAAAATTTTGAAAATTTCGGAAGGCCTTGGGCAAAAAAATTCACTTTTTAGTGGCCAAAGGAAAATTTTTTAAGAATTTTAGAGGGTAAAAATATATAGAATAATTTTAAAAACAAAATTAAATCATAAAATAAAGTCATTTATGGAAAGAAAAATTCGAATATTACTCGTCTTCTGACAAGGCATCGAACCCACATAACGACTGGGGTGTTTCACCCCACATAACGACTGGGGTGAAACACAATAACCATTAGACCACCGACTAATATAAAATAGATTGGAAAAAAATAAACATATTTCTTTCTATTTTTCTAAGTTTAAAAAATCGGGTAAGGCTAAGATTTCGGGTAGAAATTTCGGGTTTCAACCAATTTCGGGTCACGGGTTTCGGGTTGGAAAAAATATCGGGTACGGGTTTCGGGTTTCGGGTTGGAAAATTTTCAATTCGGGTATCGGGTTTCGGGTACAAAAAAAGGCCGGGTTTCGGGTTTCGGGTATCGGGTTTCGGGTTTCGGGCGGCAACCCTGATACATAGAATATTTAGATTCCCCTCCGTTGTATTTAATTTTTGTCAAATTTTTGTATTGACTTTTCTCTTTTTAAATAGGAGACTAATTTAGCGGATTAAGGGATTAAATAATTAAAATAACCTTTTGTATATGGTTGTTGAAGAGTTAAAATCAACAAAACAAATAAAAGAAAATTCATTTTAAAACAAAAAAATATTATTTTTTAAAATTTAATTTTTTTGTCTTTTAAATTAAAAATAAAGGAATTTTAAATGAGTAATGAAAGGAAGATAAAAAGAAAATAAATACAAAAATAAAAGGGCATAATTGCCAAAAATAAATTATTTCATAAATAATCATGTGAAAAGTGCATGTTAACACATACAAATTTAAATTACTTTCTCTAATAATTACTCTGGGTAATTATTTCTTAATATTTTGGAGAGAGGTAACCGAAAATGAAATTGAGAGGTTACTTGAAATAGAGGGTAATAAAATAGGAGGTAATTTATTGAGAATATACATAGCAGTCTTAGCTTTGTTTCTGAAATTCGATTTAATCATTTAGTGGGTTTTGGCATTGAAAAAATTAAAGAATAACAAGAAATTTATTTTTGCGTGGGGAAATAATATATATTTATTTATTTTCTGAGATTTAACAAATCGGTTCTATAAAATTATTCACAAAAATCAACACAAAAATGGAATCTACGGAGATTCTCTAAAAGAATAATAGGTAATTGTTAATAGCCATTTTTAACTGCTGTCTGTCAGAAATATTTGCACTTTAAATAAAGAAATTTTTCTCAACATTGAGAAATTTAAATTTAAACATTTAAAAATTCAAAAAAAAATTTTCAAAATATTTCTCTGAGAAAATTTTATTTTTTAAAAAACTTCCCTTTTTGTATTAGCCAAAATAAATTTTGAAATAAAAAAGCACTTTAAAAGGCAAAGCACTTTTTTAGGCGAAAAAATTTTAAAAGAAAAAATTAAAAAGGAAATTATTGAATATTTCACGTGAATATTAAATGTAATTAAATGCACTCACAAATTATTTGCACTTTTAAAAATAAATATAAAATTATAAAAAAAAATATTTTTACGGAATTAACACACAAAGTTCTTCTTAACAATTTGATAAAACTTAGGATTAGACAGGCTATTTTGTTTTTAAATTACTATTTCGTTATGTGATGTTTTGATTTTCGAAATAAAATATTTTTCATTTAATTTCGTTGGAATTATTAATAGGGCTCGGAATTTTTTGCGTGGAGTGCTAAACACAAATGTAAAAAGCTTTAAGAAACTTAACCTCTTGCCGGGTTAATCTCTGAAAGTTTTTGCTAAATACTTCGTGTAGAACATTCTCAGAAGAAACAGATTAAAGATAATTCTCTCTTATTAATATGTACAACTGCCATAGCTGGCAGCAAGAGTAAGGAGAGTTTAAATCGAATTTTAAAATTTTTAGCGCCAGAGATGAGAAATTTAAAAATCCAAGGTCCAAGGGCACACAACATTCATAAAACCAAAAGGAAGAATATGTATTACTTTATTCTATTTTTATCATTTTATTGCCGAATTTTATTGCCGAAATCAAAGTGAGAGATCACCCCATCAATTTCTAACAAAACGAAGAATTAAAGTAACTGGACCAATTAATAAATTACCCAAATGAACGTTTGTGTTTTGGTTAGTCAGAAACTATTTATTGATAAATTTCATTTACTTAATATATTATTTTTCATTCAACCGCGTCACTAAATAAATTTTTTAAATTTTTAAGTAGAATAAAAATAAATTTTAATTATGACAACAATTAAAACTGTTGCAATTATAACAGGTTAATAAAAAAAATAAATTGAAAAAAAAATTAAAAAATAAAAGGTGCCAGTTCGGGAATTGGAAAAGCAACAGCTTTATTATTTGCAAAAAATGGTTATCGACTTTCTCTTTGTGGTAGGAATGAAGTTAATTTAAAACAAGTTGTTGATGAATGTATTGGGTTTGGGTTGTCTAATGAACAGGTTTTTGACAAGAAATGTCGGGAGACATTAAAATCTTTAAAATTAGATTGTGACTACTATTGGAGATGTTCGGGAAGAAAAAACTTTGGATAATATAGTCAAACAAACTAATGACAAATTTGGGCAGATTGATGTTTTAGTAAGAATTTGTTAGATCTGAAATAGGATGAAATGTCATTTTTTAATGATGACTCATTATTTAATTAGAAGAGGAGGGGAGTGTTTATGATTTAATAGAATTTTTTGAAAAAAATTTTAATTTAAGAAATATGTAAATTCATATTAAACTTCAGCTAGTTAGATGGGATGAAATTAATTATAAGATTTAGCTTCTTTATTGACCTAGGAAGGGCCACGTCCAAAATGGCGCGCGGCCATAACCTTCTGGAAAATTTCCAGCCCTTATCAATTTTCGTACCAATCTCTTTAACTCGATGAGAGGAATCGTTTAATACTAAATTTGTTAATATAGGAAAACTTGAAGCAAGTTATGGCTTTGGGCCGTTATGGCCTCTCGCGTCCTTGGACTGTACCCACCTAGGAAATAAATAGTAATTGAATACAGGCTTTGACCCATCTAAATTAACTAAAACAGCAAAAACTTATTTTAAACTTTCCATTCACACACATTTTTTAAGGTAAATAATGCTGGAATAATAGATAGAGGAGGGGCTGAAACAACTCCTTTATCTGTTTTGGATGATTTAATGGAAGTTAATGTTAAAAGGTTTTTTTGTGTGAAGTTTTAACCTTTTAAAAATTAATTAAAAGTTTAATCCGTTTGACTCAATTAGCCGTGCCTTATCTCGAAAAAACTAAAGGAAGTATTGTTAACGGTTATTTAATTGTAAATAATATATTTTGTAAAAATTCTCTTTTATAGTTAGCAGTATTTCTGGAATCTGTGCTGTATGTCTCTTTAAAAATATTTTCTGTTTAATTTTTATTTTAAAAATAGTTCCCGGCTGTCACTTATTATTGTATGTCTAAAGCTGCTGTAGACAAATTTACTGAATGTTTGGCTCAAGAATTAGCTCCAAAAGGGATTCGTGTTAATGCTGTGAAGTGAGTTGCTTATGTTTGTGGGATTTTTCTATTTATAGAAAGGGTTATATGATTTTCATTAAGATAGTGCTTGATAATTCTGACTTCTCGAGTTTTTATATAAATCAAGGTCTTGTGATTAAAAATTTTTTGGGATGATTTTCCGAACATTTTCATATAGTTATCTGCATAACTCGCAAAAATTTTCTAAAAAAACATCTTCAGACTTTTTACTGGAGACCGGACTGCAAGTGTCGTACGAGAATTGAGATCTCTAAAAATCCTTGATAACAGATTTTAGATCGAGATTTCGTCTCGGTCCGTTCTCTAATTTGAACACAAATCCGTTGTTTAGGGGTTACATGGGAAATATTTCTTGCCATTGAACAGAGTTGCTTTGGCTTCGTGTTGCCCACGCTAAGGTTCATATTTAGGGTTAATGGTTCGGAACCGAATCCACCAGCTCGAAATAGTCTCCTTAACCTAAAAATAACTTGACATTTGGACTGTAAACACTACAATTTAATTCACCTAATTTGTGATAAATTTAAACTTTAATAATTTTTAAAAATTAAAGCCCAGCATTAATTGTCACTTCTTTGCATCGAAGAGCTTATATGAGTGAAGAAGAATATAAAGATGTAAATAAATTAAAATTAAAAGAAAAAAAAACTAAAAAAATTTTTTCAAAGTTTGTTGAACGTGGAAAGGCAGGACACGCTTTAGGACGTTGTGGAACAGTCGAGGAAGTTGCTAAAGGAATTCTTTATCTTGCAAGAGATGCAACTTTCACAACTGGGGAATTGCTTAAAATTGATGGAGGAAAATCTCTTTTAGTGCCTCGTTAATTAGAAAGGAATATGTATATTAAATACTTGAATAATTTAAAGGGTTATGTATCATTAAATGATAGTTAACTTATTTTATAATTTTTATTCAATTTTACATATTTGAGGAAGGATTTTAACTATTAAATAAAGGTTGTTGGTTAAAAAGAAAGATTTTTGTTTTGTGTTCGGAGATGGACGAAAATTTATGTTTAGGTTGTAGAATTTGGGGATTAAGATGGGAAACAGTGTTATTCTGATAAAATTTCAGATTTGTTTTGATCTTAAAGCATTTTTCTGCTGAGGATTTTGTTTAAATTTTTGAAATTTTTCCCTAGGGCGGTAATAAGAAAAAAAACACTGGCTACTTGATATTCACCAAAATTCTCAAAATTTTCGCTGTTTTGATATTCTTTCTAATTTACAGTTAAATTTACACAAATAAATTAAATGAGATATACATAGTTGAATATTAAGTGATTTGAGGAAATATTGATGGGAATTATTAAATCTATTTCTAAATTGATAACAAGATTAACAAAAAATTCTACAAACTTTTTACTCAAAATTTTTACTATCTTTAAATCCAACAAATTTATCAAAAAATTTACGAAGCTTTGGGTAAAAACATTTTTTCATAAAAATTTATTTAAAAATCATTTATATTTTCACCAATTCTTAACATTTTTTTCGTTCAACATATATAAAATCAACAGCCTAACAAATGTAAAATAAGGTGAATAGTTGCCCCATCCTCGATATCATAGTAAGCAATTGTATGGTCATCTTCGAGTTGCGTACCAATATAAATCTAAAAATTATTGTAATAAATCAAAATACTCTTTTTATTTATTTATATTATGCTATAATTTATAAATTTAATGATAATTCTAAATATTTTCCGAATTTTATTTACAAACCAAACGTTGTTTATCCACAGGTATTCCACTTTTCATTTCAATCATACACTTAATGAGACTAATTGTATCGCAATTTTTAACATTTTCAAGAACAAATTTGTGATTAATCAAATCTATAACATTTAACTGAAATAGCATAATTAATAGATTAATTGTAACAAAAAATTTCACTCTTAAATAGACTCACTCTAAAATAGCCCCTCCCCCCAAGATTATCTTTGATACGTATAAATTAAACTTTGTTTTAAAATTTTCCTACTTAAAAACTTAGTAAAACTATACGAAATAGATTGTATGAAAGAAAAATAACAAAGATGTCGATCGAAAAAATAGCCCCGCCTTCCATTTTTAGGATTGTTTTTCAAATTAAGGCATTTGATTTAGTCTATTTCAATAAGATAAAGAAGTATTAAGAGGTGTATTGGAGGGATTAGTGAGGATCAGGGTCTATTTCGTAATCAAGAAGTATATCCAGGGATAGAGATTTATGTAGATACCGATGGATTGTGGGATATAATGGAATTCTGATGGATCGGGAATTTAGATAGATATAAAGTATGTATTTGGGGGTGATGAGGGTGGAATTTGTGAATTAAAAGAATATTCCTCAGTTCTTAAATTTGTATATAAATCCAATTAATCCCAAAAATTGTTCTAAATCTTCCACCTTACTTTAATTTTATTTGATTCAGATTTAGTCTGCATATTGTCTAAAGGTTGTAAATGTATTTGCCGAACATCTTTTAATGTTGCAACTTTCCGACATTGAGGGCAATATTTTTTCTTCAAAATAAAAAATAAATTTAAAATTTTAATTAAATTTTTCTACTTGAGAGATTATTTGTGTCATACAATCTTCATGAAAAACATGACCACACGAAATTGAAAACATATTATCAGAAGTCAAGGGTTCAGAACAAATAATACAAATGAATGTGGTGGAAGACATTTTGGGTATCTGAAATTGGTTGAATTTATATTCGTATAACTTGATCTTAGAGAAATAAACACGAGAATTAGGATTGGCCTAAGATTGACTCTAAACTGTAGTGTCGTTAAATCCTGTTTGTATATCCTTTATTATTTCCCCTATCAGAAACGTCAAATTAAATATTTGGGTTGCTGACAATTAATAAAACGAAGACAAAAGTTTTAATATAATATTTTATTATAGCACCTCAAACTTGGGTAATTAAACCAAACTAAACAAAGAAATGTGTGAACAAAAAATGTGTGAACGAAAAATGTGAAAAATGAATAAAATCGCGAAATTAATAAATTTATTAAGTTCTTGGGTCGCCACAGGAGAGGGATAGCCAATCATTGTTGTCGGGGCACTCCTTGCCGTTACCGCTCTCTCGGCCAAAGAAGGCTAGGGAACGGTTCCGGCAAGGAGCGCCTGTTGTGGTGTGTTGCTGTCCCAAGTGGGATGAGGAAAGAGTGAAGTGTTGTTGGGAGGAGTGTGCTTCTTTAAATAGTGGGGGTAAATGATTATATCTTCTTTTAAAAATAAGTTATTTACATTACAAAATTATTGTGGGAATGTTGTTGTTAAAAGATGAGGGGAAAAGATTGTAGGCCAAAGAAGGCTAAATAAAAAATCTTTTATTAAAAGAAAAAACATTTTTTATAAAAAGAAAAATTTTTACACAAAAATAAAAAGGAATGTGAATTGATTGGTCGGTGATTCACTTTTTTCACACCGACTGACAAAAGAATAAAAAACAAAATAAAAATTTTATTTTTACCCGGGAACGCCCGAGTCTCGTGTCTCGGGCGTTCCCGACACTCCCCACGTCGTAGCTATTCCCTCAGGAATTGGACCTTAGTTTGGTCCCTGTCCTTTAACTTCCGCATCACTCGTGTTGAGATTCGGTTTAGCTCGTATCTACTGAGGGTGTCGGGTGTTGAAATTGTTTCTAGAGTTGGCTCTTCTTTTCCCTCTTGTATCCGGATTATCGAATGTCTTCTTGTTGCTTCATTATTGTGTGTGGCCTCGATCAGATTGGTGCGCTGTAGTATCTTCTTTATTCCCCATGGGAGTATGTACAAGTATAGTATGGATAGAATGTTGTATACGAACGTAAGTTTGAACGCAGTTTCCCAAGACATCCATTGTGTTAAGCTGAAGGTGTAGTCGAACCGTTGGGGTTCGTAATTTTCTGTCGTACTTTTGTCACTCATGATTGCTTGCATGTGTTGTCCTCTGGCGAAGGTTCGAAATGAAGCTAGCAACCTGATTGTTGGGTCGGAGTCGTTCGTTAATTCTAAATTCTTGAAGATGAGCGTGTCCAAAGTTGGTAAGCTCGAGCCGTTTAGTTGGTCTAGCGTTATTGTTTCGGCTTGTGGGTGATTGACTACGTGTCCTTCAATTTGGTCTATTGTGAGTAGTTCTCCTTCCCAAAGCATTGTTTGTCTTCGGTATTTCTTACAACTTCCATTTTTTGACTCCTCTCGAATTATTAGTGATACTGGATCTAAGTATGCTTGGAAATAGTTGTCGTATATACTGATGTTGACTGGTAGAAACTTGAAACAGTTCTTCTCTTCGTTAGGTAGGAATTGCACGTTCTTCTTTTCTATTCGAATGCACTTCTTTACCTCCAGGAGGTTTCGCCCGCTGTTGGTTATCCATCGTGCTTCGATTAAGTCTTGTTGGAATAGGTTTCGAGCTATTGTTGTGGCGTCCATGGCCGTGAACGGGAGCCTATGTAGGCCAGTGTTCAGCAACCAACAGACTGTAGTCTTTAATTTGGTTATGCCATTGAGTTGCGCCGCTGTGAGCTGGCTTGCAAGTTGCTCGGTTTTGACTGTCGCTCTTTTGCTTCGTATTCTCGTGATTCTGTCGAATACTTCTTGTTTTATCAAGTATCCTTGGTCTGACATTACGTAGTCGTGTCCACAGTCTTCTTTTGTTTGAGGGTCTGACGTGAACGATAAGGCCAGATCTTCTTTGGTCCAAATTTTTTCGGTTGGGTAATAATCTCCGTGCCAAGTGGCGAGATACGTGTACTTGCATCTTACTTCCTCTGTGGGTTTCTTCCAGACGATTAGTGATCCTCCTTCGGTCGGGCATTCTTCATCCTCTAGTGAGCACTTGGCCATGTTGTCGATTGGCGAGTGAAGTGCTTCGGTGGATGGATCAAAATATAGTTTACAGTCCGTTTGGAAACAGTTTGTTCGTTGACTATGCTGTGTGGAGAAATAGCTGTAGTCTATTGTTGGGTTGAAATCGTTCAGAGTCCGTTTGATTCCTTCATTTGCAGTGAGCGGTCCGTATTGGCAGTGGTTGGTCTCTGTCATCCTGAGACACTCTTCTTTCGAAATCGGGAGTGTCTCGCTGGTGGTCACATTCCTTCCTTCCCCGATTAAGTTTTCCCAGTACTCTACCTTCTGTCTTATAATGACACACCTACTTGCCTTGACTTCCCTGGCTTCCATATTTACCCGATACACTTGCAGTCTTAATTTGACCTTGGTACCCGGTAACCACTCTGAACAAGACATACCTCGGTGTTGTAAGTCGATCACTCTTGCGGGGGCCACCTCATTGCACATCATTGCCGACTGCCCGACGGTCCATCTGAACTTGGAAATTAATAAAATTAGTAAGAGTAAGGTCCAATAAAGTCTTTTCTTGCCTCTATTCTGCGGCCCAGGAGGGCTTGCAATTCCTAGCAGGTCCAAAGAAGGACGCGCGGCAGGCCAGATGAACCTGTCCCGTTGTCTGCCCATGGTGGTCGTAGTTTTTCTTAACGTCTCGCTTGTTACATTTCTAGCTACGTTGTTGTTGTCGTCTGTTGGGTCTCGCACAAAAATTGGTTGGGTCCCATCTTCTGGCATTCTTCGCTCCATTCCTACAGCTGTGATGACCATCCCCTGGTAAGGGAAGCTAGCAAAGTAGTCGAAAAAGGCGAGGAGTTTCCAAGCCGTATCTTTTTTCAAATGATGAGTCCTGCTGTGGAAGTGAGCCAACATAATGTTCCATGCGTAGCTATTCAAGAAATGATGAGTAGAGTCATTTAGACCTTTACCTTTAGACCAAATTTTGAGGATGGTGCTTAAGGTTCTCAGCCTTCGTTCCGTGATGTTTTCCCTCTGCCATCTTGCGCTTTCTACCACTTTCGTGCCAGCGTATGAGACGTCAATTTCTAGGTCCTCAGTCTTAATCCGAATTATTTGTACGTTGCGGGTGAATATCCGGAAGCAATGATCGAACCAAGCTTCCTGCCGGCATGAAGCCCACAAGTGTCGTTGAATTGATGCCAGTTCTCTTCTTTTTATCTCAGTTGTCACTTCGCCCCGAATTGCTCTGTCCGGAAGTACGGTGATGTCGAGGTCGCTGTCTTTCAAGTCTAATTCAGCCGCGGAACTTCCATATAAGCAAACTCGAGCTCTTCCCCATCGTTCAGAGAGAATTCGTTCTATTTTTCTAGCCAACTTCTTCTTTTCTTCTCTTTTTTCTTCACTGAGGAGCCACGCGTTCGCAACGAGATCTAGGTCCGCAGAAAAACCATTTTCGTCATGTTCTCTCCAATATTTAGTGATGAGATTTCCATAATACTGGGGATATTCTTCTGTTGCCTCCGGCCCAAGAGGGCTTGGAGGGACTTCGGAAGGGGTCTCTGCTGGAGTTGTTTGAATATGAAAGATGTTTTGCAACCTGCTTTCTAAGGTCGGCCTGTCGGACGTGCTTGGTGTGTCATCCACGGGAGGCTGCCAATTGTATGACATCATTTCCTCGACTAGTCGTGTCACCGCGGTTGCTCCACTTTCTGTTAGGAAGCCGTGGCAGTTGATCCAGTCTTGGTTGTTGGGTGCGATGATCATCCGGAACGTTGATTCGGTTTCGCGGGCGTCCTTCATTAACTTCTTGAATCCCTTCTCATAATCCTTTCGGACGGCCGTGACTTTAGTTGGTGGGAGGATCCAAACAACATTGCGCCAAAGGAGGCTCAAAATGTTAATGAATGGAGTGGTGTCGCGACTGAATACCTCCCAAGGTGTTTCTCTCAGAATATGTGACGTCCCTAGCGAGATGATGACCCAATCGGTTATCGGCGAATAGAAGAGGGTTGTTAGATGTTCCGCGCTCTTCGGAATGAGCGTGTAGGCTCCCAGATTACGTCCAATTTCAGCACAGTATTCCTCGGTGATATGAACCTTCTTCGCCTCTACCATATGCGCATCTCCAATGAAAAATTTTGCCTTCATCCGATTGGCTAGCTTCATAACACTTCCCTCCATCATTTGAACTAATTCATCTAGCCCTTCGTCTTCGATATGTTCTCGTACCGACTCTGGTCTGATTGCGACGTAGTTGTTCCTTTCTATGGGATTTGCGGCTCCTTTGCAGTAGATTCGCCAGACCTTCAGCGCTTCTTGCAATTCCGTTAGAGTCCACCATACGAGGTCTTTCTGTCCTATTCCCTTCGTTCTCTTCCTCCATTTCTCGTGGCTGGCAGGGATATCCGATTTTTTCCACCCGATCTTGATTTGTCCTCCCATCTCCTGCCTTGCCTGCCGGGCCATCCGCAACAGTTCCTCCGAAGGTGGTGTCTCGCAAAATCTTCTAACCCACAACTTTATCTTCTCTTCAACCTTGCCGTGCACCGTTGCCCATAGAACCAAGATTAAATGGAAAATTGATGGAATAACGCTTTCTCTTTCCTCTTCCATATGCTGGAAGTTTGTTGTCAGCAGGGCCTCGCATCTTCTGTGCCCTGGTTGTCCGGGGTTGCAGATCGTGAATAACCCCCACTCATCCGATTCAAGCGTGCCGTTTTCGAGGTTCGCATCCTGGTACTCGGCCATATCCTGCCATGATGATGGGTCCTCGGGGTCCTGGCCAAAGGAGGCTTGGTCCCCTCGGAACTCTTCGTCGCCCACCCATTGCTCGTCGTCGCTGCCCGCAAGCGAAACGTCTTCCATTGCCTGAAATTTTGAATAGATACTATAAATATGATTTAGTTTATCATTAGTATTTATCCCTATTGTTTTTGGGTTAATATTTTGATTATTTATTTCATTTATTTCTAAATTGTAAAGTTTATTAATTGGTCTTTTCAGAAATTTTCCTTGAACTTTTACTAAGGCGCTGCGAATTTTGTTGTCGGCCCCTGTGTATAGCTTCTCGATTTTTCCTAACTTCCACTGATTTCTTTTTCCCTCACTTTGCTCTATCAAAGTGAGCTCTCCCACTTTAGGAGGTTGATTATTTTCTCTATTTCTTCTTTGTCTTTCTAGTAGAGATGGTAAGTATTCTTTCTTCCATAATTCCCAATAATGTTTAGCTAAACTTCTATTCTGTGTGTATCTTTTTATCAATTCTGCTCTTGTGTCTCCTTTTGGAATATATTCTTCTTCTTCTTCATCTATTTTCAAAATTGGTTCATTGTCTGGGTACGGTACTAAAATTTTCCATGGTGTTATTACTTCATTTATTTCATTTTCTGAGATGTATGTGAGTGGTCTTTCGTTTACATACTTTTCGATTTCTGTAAGTAATGTAATCATTTCACTTAATTTTAATATTCTTCTTCCAATTGTTTTACTTAACGGGTTTTTTACCATTTGTATTGTTCTTTCAAATAACCCGCCTTGCCAAGGTGCTGCTTCCGTATTGAAATACCATTCTATTCCTTTATTAGAAAGTGTGTCGTTTGCTTCTTTTGGCCTTTGCCAAAGTTGGCTTATGGCTTTATTTGCTTTTTTGAATGTTTTTGCGTTGTCTGACACGATTATTTTTGGTACTCCTCTTCTTGAGATAAATCTAGTAAACGCAGCTAAAAATTCATCTGCGGTTAAGTCGAACACAACTTCAATGTGTATTGCTCTAATTCTTGTGCATACGAAAATCAAACCCCATATTTTTGACTGTTGATTTTTATATTTAACTATGAATGGTCCAAAGTTGTCCAACCCAATTGAACTAAATGGTTTTTCGAATTTATCTTCTATTCTATAAGTAGGTAAGTCAGGTGGATTGGGTAGTTGATATGCTTTTGTGTTCTTCTTTGAACATGTGATGCAGTATAATTCATTCTTTTTATTGAATATTGTAGCTCTGATTGTTCTTCTTGCTTGTGGTATCCAATATTTTTCTCTTAATTTTGCAAGAACTATGTTTGTACCTGAATGTTTCATGTCTATGTGTGCTTGTTTAATAATCATTGCTGTTATTCTTGCCTTCTTTGGTAAAAATATTGGTTGATTTGCTTTTTCATGCGCTGTTTCTGCTCCTAGTCTTCCTTTACATCTTAATATTTCTTCATTATCCTCATATATATTTAGATTCTTTCTTTCCTCTTCATTTGGTGGATATACTTTTTGTATATTTTTTATTAGTATTTTTTCACTCCTTTCTAACTCTTTTGCTTCTATTGGTCTGATTTCTTTATTTTTATTTTTTGTCGTTTTGTTTTTCCACCTTAATGCTAAAGCTAGCACTCTTTTTGTTTTTATCCATGATGAGCTTCTTGTTGTGTCTATTTCTTCAATTTTTTCTTCTATTATTGTCATTAATGTTATTTCTGTTGGTTTGATTTTTCTTTCATGTTCTTTCGTATTGTAATATGTTTTTGTTTCTGGCCATTCTTCTTTCTCCTTTTTGAGCCAACTTGGGCCTTCAAGCCAGTTTGTATTTTGTATTTCATTCATCGAAGTTCCTCTTGTAGCAATGTCTGCCGGGTTTTCTTCACCTTTTATATGTTTCACGTTGTAATTTCTAATTATTTTTGCTCTATTTTCAATGAATGTTTCTAGCCTTTTCTCTGATTTGAGCCATTCTATCACGTCTATTGCATCTGTCCAAAGTTGGACTTCTTCTAACTCTAAATCAATTTCTTTTTCTAAGTATTTTGCTATTTTTGTTGCGATTTTTAGTGCTTGGAGTTCTAGCTTTGGGATTGTCTTATGTTTATTTGGGACGCTCTTTGGGACTATTAAGCTTTTTGCGAATAATAGTTTAGTTACTATTTCTTCTTTCGATTTACATCTTAAATATGCTGCTATTCCCATAGCTTCTTTCGATGCGTCTGCAAATATCTGTAATGAATTTCCTTCTTTATTAATTTTGTATCTTGAAATTCTTCTTGGTATTTCTAATGGCTCTCCTTCTTGCATTTTTGTTATTTTTATCCATTCTTCTTTTAACTTTTTCGATATTGGTTGATCCCAATCTGATTTTTCTTCCCAAATTTTATGTAATAATAATTTGTATGGTAGTAGCACTGGACTTAGTAACCCAAGAGGGTCGAATGTTGATGCATAATGTGCTAATATTGTTCTTTTTGTCGTTAGTGCTGTTTCTTCCCATTTTTTCAATTTAATTATGTATATATCTTTTTCTGGTATCCATTCGATACCTAGTAACTTTGTTCTTTCATTATTACCTTTATCTTCTTCTGGTATTTTATTTATTATTTCTTTGTCACTTGAAATAAATTCTCGAATATTCATTTTTGCCTTGTAAAACACTTCTTTCAATTGGTGATATATTTTTTCTAATTCGTCCAATTCGTCTGTGCCAACAATTATATTGTCTACATAAATATTCTTGAGAATGTCTTCTTCAATTATATCTGTGTTTTTCTTTAAATGATGTTGAACTACGATCCCTAAATGTGCTGGACTACTAATTATTCCAAATGGAACTCTTTTAAATCTATATGTTTTTATTTTACTTTCTTCATTAGCAGGGTCGGCTGGCCAAAGAAAGCGTAGCGCGTCCCTGTCTTTTTCTCTTATACTTATTTGTAGGAAGGCTTTTTCTATGTCTCCTGTTATTAAATGTTCCTTCAATCTTGTCCTGATGAGTATCCCTGTTAAATCTTTTAATAATGTTGGTCCTTTTTCTAAGCAGTCATTTAATGATTGGTCTGATGCTTTACATTTAGCACTTGCATCGTAAACGATTCTTACTTTGCCTGAGTCTTTCTTTACTACAGGCTGGTGTGGTATGTAGTGTACATGTTCTACTTTCTTTGTTGGATCTTTTACTTCTTCTATTATCTCCAATGCTATTTGTTGTTTAATAATTTTGTCGTATTCTTCTAGTAATTTTTTATCCTTTCTCAACCGTTTGAGTGTTGATATTAATCTTCCTCTTGCTAATGCAAAGTTTGATTGTATATTACTTGCATTTTCGTTCCAAGGTAGTGATACTTCATATCTGTCTCCTGTTTCTTCAGGTGTTTTTATATCATTTTCGAATTGAACCATCCATTTTTGTTCATCCGATATTTCACTTGCGTCTTCCATACCTATCATCTCTTTGCTTAATAATCTTTCCACTTTTTCTGTTAATTTTTCTTCTTCAGTTTCGATTTCAATTTTATTTTTGTCTTCCTCTTTTTCTTCATTATTTTGCTCAAGGGAGCTTTTTAATTTTGTATGGTGATTTTGTGTGTCTAACAGATTTCGATTATTAATTTTTAAATTTCCTTGTCCACTTAATATTTTTCCTACCGTTGATTCGTTAATCCAAAATCCATTTGGCAGTCTTTTTTCTGATTTTATGTAAAAATCATTGTAATTATCATTCCCTATTAATATTTCAGGGCTTGTGTTGTGGTTTGGTACTTTTAATTCTCCTTGATAAAGCTCTCTATACTTTCCTTCTATCTTCACTATTGTCATTTTTGCTAACGGTTGGTCCGTAGCTGACATTTGATAAATTCTTTTTCCTCTTTTTGTTTGTATTCCTAATTTTGTTTTTGCAAGTGTGTAGGTGCCAAGGTTGGCTCCTGCAAATCCTGTTAATTTAACTTTGTTATACTTCTCTAGTTTGAGGTTAAGTTTTTCTGCTAGGTTCTTACTAATGTAACTCTGATCACTACCACTGTCAAAAAAACAGAGTACCTTTTCCTGTTTGTACGGTATTTCTGGATTAAATACCGTAATTGTTGTTGTCAGTAATATACTAGTTTGGTTACTTTCTTCTTTATTTGTTCGTACCGATTGTAATTGAATTTCTTCTTCGATATTATTGTTTATTTGCTTTCTTTCTTCTTTCTTTCCAAATTGTTTTAAACAAATTGCTTGATGGTGTCCTTGCTTCTTACAAAACCAACATATTTTGTTTTTGGTTGAGCATTCTTTGCTCTGATGTCCTGGTCTTAAACAGTTGATACATAGCTTCTTTTCTCTTGCTAGTTTGTATCTTTCTTCTGCTGTTGGGATTTTTCTACAATCCGTTGACCAATGATTAAGGTTACAAAATGGACATGGCCACTTTGGTTTACTTCTTTCTTCTTGCTTTGGTTGAATTTGGTTTTGTATTTTTACTTCTTTTTTCTTTGGTTCTTCCTTTCTTTGTTCTTTTGTTGTGTATTGCATTGTGGTTTTCCCAAATTTATATGGTGTTTTTTGTCTTTTATCTTCGTTAATTTCTTGATGTGATTCTTTGTATACTTCGTTTACTGCTTGCTCTTCTTTTATGATTTCTGCCAAATTTTTTATTAAGATTTCTGTATTCCATTCGTTTGATTGTCTCTTCTTACTTAGCATTTGCCTTAAGACGGCTTTGCTTAATTTTTGCTCTATCATTAGAGATATTGCTGGAATATTTATTGTTTGTTTGTGTGTCTTCATTAATCGATTTATTCTTTGTAAGTCGCGTAACAATTTTATGTCGTCGTTAAAATTTTGACTGGTCTTTAATCCTAGTAATTCTTTGTTTAATTTTCTTATTTGTGTTTCTTCTTTCTCAAATTCTTCTTTAAGAATTTCGATTGCGACTTCATAATTTTCTTCTAGTGGTTCTATACCTTTGAGTACGGCTGCTGCTTCTCCTCTTACATGCGCGAAGAGTTGACATATTTTTTGTAACCTTGGAATACTATCATCTTCATGAATTAATAGTTTCCATATAGGCCAAAAGTCTGACCAATTTGGTCCTTCTAATGTTACTAATTTTAGTAACGGTGGTTTGAGGCCGTGGGTATTTCCTCTAGATTCATTCATTGTTGTATTTTGTTCGTTTTGTGGTGTCGGTTCCTTTTGAGACCTCATGACTAAGTAGTCTGTCTCAATTGAGTTCCAATTTCTTATTTTTGTTTTTGCTGTTTTGTAAATACTTTCTATCTGATTTTCATTGATAAAATTTGTTAGTTCATTTTCGGCTTCGATTCTTTCACTTGTCTTCAATTTTTGAATGTTTGCTTCCCATTCATCTTGAATGATCTCAATTTTTCTTGTGTTGCTTTCCAATTCTTCTTTTATTGCTTTTATCTTCCTTATCTGACCTTCAAGTACGTGAATGTCTTCTTCTTCTGTTGGTCCTTTGACCTCTGTTGCTATTAATTCTTTAGTGATCTCGATGATATTTTTTAACTTTCTTTTGTTTGATGTTATTGAAGACATTTTTATTATTTATTTTAATTTTATTTTATAAATTTTTTATTAAAAAATTTTTTAATAAATTTATCCTGGCTCAATAGAGCTTTGGCTTTTGTTTTAGTTAACTTACTTTTATTGTTCTTGCTAACAATTTGATTTTGTCCCCCACTTTCTTTTGAATTTGTTGCTTTGTTGTTTTTGTTGTGAATTTTTACGAAATCGTTCGTTGTCGGGGCTCCAGATATCAGAAACGTCAAATTAAATATTTGGGTTGCTGACAATTAATAAAACGAAGACAAAAGTTTTAATATAATATTTTATTATAGCACCTCAAACTTGGGTAATTAAACCAAACTAAACAAAGAAATGTGTGAACAAAAAATGTGTGAACGAAAAATGTGAAAAATGAATAAAATCGCGAAATTAATAAATTTATTAAGTTCTTGGGTCGCCACAGGAGAGGGATAGCCAATCATTGTTGTCGGGGCACTCCTTGCCGTTACCGCTCTCTCGGCCAAAGAAGGCTAGGGAACGGTTCCGGCAAGGAGCGCCTGTTGTGGTGTGTTGCTGTCCCAAGTGGGATGAGGAAAGAGTGAAGTGTTGTTGGGAGGAGTGTGCTTCTTTAAATAGTGGGGGTAAATGATTATATCTTCTTTTAAAAATAAGTTATTTACATTACAAAATTATTGTGGGAATGTTGTTGTTAAAAGATGAGGGGAAAAGATTGTAGGCCAAAGAAGGCTAAATAAAAAATCTTTTATTAAAAGAAAAAACATTTTTTATAAAAAGAAAAATTTTTACACAAAAATAAAAAGGAATGTGAATTGATTGGTCGGTGATTCACTTTTTTCACACCGACTGACAAAAGAATAAAAAACAAAATAAAAATTTTATTTTTACCCGGGAACGCCCGAGTCTCGTGTCTCGGGCGTTCCCGACACCCCTTTTTGGTTTGTTCTTGTATATAGTCTATAACAAAAAACAGATACTAAATAAAAACATTGGAAATCAATGCCTTAATTTGAGGGAAAGAATATTTGATGACATATTTAATGAAGAATGGAACGAAAATGAGAAAAAGAAATATATACAGATTGAAAAATAATCCAAAGTATGTTAAGAAGTCAGAAAAAAGTGAGTAAAATAATACGATTGGGTTCAGAAGGGTCAGAGACAATAAATCCAATGGCTTTCCTATTAGCCTAGGAAAATTTTAGAGCAGAAATTATTTTAATAACTTATTTAGAGCGAAATTTTATTTTTCCTTTACGCTGATGACAGAAAAAATATGGGTAATATATAGGAATCAAGAAAAAATTTTCTCCTTTTTCAGGAAAACGGGTGCTTTATTAATATCCTGCCCCGCCCCAATTTGAGTTCAGATTAATTTTTCTTTTATTGTCAATCATTTATTTTCAACAAACATTTTAAGTAAAAGTTAAGTTATGTGGACAAAAATTAGGATGGAAAAACAAAATGGCAATGGAAGCAAATCTTTAAATAAAAACCAAAATTATACTCATACTTCGTAGGAAACGATAGAAGATTGAAGGAATTACCAAAACCTTAAAAATATTGCTTCAGACAATATTAAAAAAATTTTTATGAGAAAATCATTCACTATCCTCATTCAAGCTAAAGGAGGCAAAAAATAATTCAAAAAGAAAAATCCTATTTTAAATATTAAATAAACTTTTTAGGTCAATTTTCTCTTATTTGTTAGAAGGCAAATAATAGGTACAATAATCAGACATTTTTGAATGTCTCTTCCAATGAACCAAACCGAGATCTATTAAGGGTCCTTCGTTAACATTCAGGCACTTACCTATTTTTATTAAATATTATTTGAAAGCCAAATAAAAAATTAAGTATTCCAAGAAATATTTGCTCAAAATCTTAGGATCGTCGATTTTTAGAAAATCTTTAGACACTTGAACAAAGAGAAAAATTCTAACAGCCCAAACAATTTATCAATAAAAAATGAAAATTTTAAAGTTAAAACATTCAATATTCAAAAAACCAGCAATATTTTTAAAATTAAATTTTTTTATCAAATTGGCCGCAAAAAATCATAAAATCAACATCCTTTCAGACGCAAAACTAAGTGAAGAAATGAGCCATTTTTGATACCACAATCAGAAATTTTATGATCACGCTCAAGTTGCTTGCCTGCATAAATCTAAAATTTATTTAATTTAGTCAATATCTCGACCTATTTTATATTTATAATTTAATAATAAACATTTACTGACCAAACGTTGTTCATCAACTGGAATTCCCGTCTTTAATTCAACCATACACATAAGAACTTTGATAGTATCAGAATTTTTAACATTTTCAAGCACAACTACGTTCTTAGAGTCAATACTTTTAATATATAACTGAAAAATTGTTTAATCAATGTTAAATTTTAATGAAAATGTTTTTTTCCAGGTACGCAAATAAGGGCGATTTGCGTTTCTGAAAAAATTTGGAAAAAATTGAAAACTAAAAATAATTTGTCCATTCTCATCTCTCATTTGAATATGCTACGGGCAAAAAGGGTGGAATTGAATGAGGAAGTCTTATGATGTAAAAAATGATGAAAGAATGCAAACCGCCCTTACATGCGTATAGGGTCGGATTTTTTGCGACTACGGGTCATCCTATAAAGCTCGGTCCCATATTATTGTTAATTTATTATTATTAATTTTAATAGATTATTTATTTTTAATTTAGTACAAACGCTGTGAAGTTTGTGTTACCCCTTTATTCTTTCGGCTGTAGTGTTTATACCGAGGTAAAAGTTCCTACATTGTCATTCGATTCGACGAGCTGAGTCGGTCTGTACCACTCCTAATTTCAGAAAATGATTCTGGACCGAGTTATAGGTCGCGAAATATTGAAAACCCATAGGGGGAGTGAGGTAGATTTTGGTATATATATGTAACTCTGTACAGAATAATTTTCTGAAATTGGGAATGGTACCATTCAACTCAGCCCGTCGAGACGAATCGAATGACATATGTCATGTCCCAACCCGTACACTACACTACAGCCAATTTTTGATTAATTATAAAAATTATCTTTCAACCTACTTTAATCACAGTAGAACCATCTTCAGTCTTTATATTGCTTGAACTACCACTATTATTCTCCTCGACAAAAAGTTGCTTAATACCCCTTTTAGTTGTAGCTTTACCACATTTAGGACAAAACATTTTCTAAAAAAAATTAAGGCTAGGTTTGTAATTGAATTTTTGACCTGTTCGACCCAGTCTGTAATACACTCCTTGTGAAAAACATGGCCGCACGGGATTGAGTATATATTATTACGAGTCAAAGTTTCAGAACAAATGATGCAAAGGAATGTGTTAGAAGACATTTTTCCTTAAATTGAATTCATACATATTAAGGTTGGCGGATCCGGATCCGAAAAATAGCCGAATATCCGGAAATTTTCGGTTCGGATTATCCGAAGATTTTCAACCACCCGCCAATCTTAATACATATATGAAAAACTTTGATTTTACACGGCCACGAAAACAGGTAATAGTTTGGAATTCGCCCTCCCTTTTTTCTTTTCTTCTTTTTCTAAGTTTTTTTTTCATTTTATGGCAAATTATATATCATTCGAAAGAGCTCTTCAAGCTGAGTCGAATGACGTTAAGATTAACAAAATCTGACTTAAGTGAACAAAGTTGTGACCGTTTATTTTATCCCCTTGCATTGACACAAAAAGTTTGCTCAAACTAGGATTTGGCTTCATAATTTTGGTAAGATTGATCAGATCTAGCCAATCATGGTATCATTCGACCACGCTTGAAGAGCTCTTTCGAATGATATATGATAAATTATGTATCAAACAAAAAAGCTCACAATGGTCAGGGAAACGGTGAAAAAAGGTGGGGCGAATTCCAAACTATTACCCGAAAACAAGTCACTGAACGACAGTCACGGTCTTACTAACTCGCGGAAGTAAGACTGTGACTTTTTGAATTGTCCGACATTGATTTGTCGTTTCTTGACTAGTCTGAAACGACATTTGTCGTTTCTTGACTAGTCTCTTTTACTACCGAGCGAAAATTTTGGAAGGCCAAGAAGCCAAAAATCTTAATCAAGTAAGCGCATTTCTGCGGTAAAAAATTCGAATATGCGGATTATACCTCATTCGAAAGAGCTCGTCGAGCTGAGTCGAATGACACCAAAATCAACAAAATCTGACTTGATTTGACAAAGTTATGACATTTTGTTCTTACCCATCCACAAAGTCTAAAAGTTGGCTATGGTCGCCGTGGCGACCAATAAAACAATTTTCCTCTACAAATTTATCGATAAACTACAGAATTAAAAAATAAAGTTAAAAATAGATAATAAATAAAAAATTACATGGTACGAAAAAAAATAAATAAAATACATTGGGGTATTTACTTGTTTCAAGTTAAAATCTTGGGTTATACCAGATGTACCGTAGCTCTAAGATTTTTCTATAAGTAATGAATTTTTAAATAATGGCTGCTCATCAAAGATATGTTGAATGTTCAATTTTTTTAAATTTTGATGTCTCAAAGTTATTGCCCCAAGAGGCAAAGGAATTATATAGCAAGGAATTATATATATCATAAAACTTCAAATAGAATTCATAGCTCATCGGTACATCAGATATATGTAGAAGGGTTCTACAGTTTTTGTGACATATAGTGAGTAAGAGGTAGATAAAGGTTGTTAGCATTCAAGAGGTATACTAAGAGGCGTTTATGAACTATTAAAAAAGTGAAACCAGCAATGAAGCAGTATCGCTATATAAAACATTTACCTTCCTCTTACTGTACATAAATGGGGACTTTAAAAAATTTTACAATGAAATTATGCCGAAATGTGTGAATAAAAACGGGGTAATGAAAAACGTATAAACAACCCCGACTTTAAAGAAGATTTTGAGTAAAACATTTTGGGGTATGTTACTTAAATTTACAAAGTGACAGACTCGACAAATAAAAATATTTACATGTTTACAATTTACTTTTCACTCTTGTTCAATCCAGTACTTTTCAATCCAGTTCATTTTCTCAATCAGAATCGCGAAGAGCTTCTTCTACTTTAGCGAGGAAAATATTTTTTGGATTGTTCTTTTTCAATGTCTGCCGTAAATATTTATGAACATTGTTAACCTTTTCCTTGTGACTGAAATAAAAATTTTATATTTTTTTTTAAAAATAATTTCTTTTTTAAATAAATAATGTGACTTTCGGATAAAGCCTGCTAGCTTTTGTAAGCATAAAATAAAGAACCGAAATAAAATTTCAATATTATTCTCAAATTTAATATTTATTTTTAAAATTAATTACTCGTTATCCAACAACTCTTCCAATACCGCTTCAATATCTCCAACGTCTTCAATAGCCTCATTATCTCCAAGCTTTTCAATCTTTTTTGACATATTGTTGAAGCTTAATGTTGGAGCAAGTCTAACCACTTCTTGTTTAACAATTAAATGTTGATTCTCGCCATGTTTGTCCAAACTTGAAGGTCTAGCATGATGACTGCCTTTAGCTGGGGATCTTCTTCGAGCAGGGGACCTTCCACGAACAGGGGATTTGCTTCGTCCATTTCCGTCCATTTTCTGCCCATGTTTGGGATCTCCTCCGCTAATCGGCTTTTCACCATTAGCGGAATTCTCAATTTCTATTTCATGAGGTATTTTCAAGGCTTCAGCAACATAAAATTGATCTACCATATAAGGCAGAGATAATATTGGAACATTTTCATAAAATGCTTCTAATACTTGGTATCCACTGCTGTTGGTGATTAAAAGGATTGTGTTACCCTTTGCTGAAAAGTAGAAATATCTAAAATTATTATAACAAATTTAAAATTACCCAATTCCTCTTGCATGTCCGGAATTTTTTTAATTTCATGTTTTACATCAATCATTACTTCTTCTAATTTTTCCAAATCAACTCCTCCTGCTTTACAATCATAAATAAATGTTAAATTCATTTTTTTCGAATCTGACACATTCTTAATAGCCGCCACGAATTTTTCCAAAATTTTTATGGTTTCTGGTTGAGCAATCTGTCTGCAATATTCAATGCTCATAATCACTTGTTTGCTTGAACTCTCCGGTTTCTTTTAAAATAAAAATATTTAAGTATTATGTCCGTACTTCCAGAAAGAGCATTAAAGAGTAAAAAATAATCTAACAATAAACTTGGTTAAATGGTTGTTGTGTTCTAAATTAGGGTTTTTCCTATTGTTCTCTATTTATTCTCCCTTACAATGAATTTTGTCACACTAACATTTTGTTTATTATTTATTTCAAACATAATTAGAAAATTCAGGATTTTCTGTTCGGTTTCTCGGTTCAATTAAAAGTTTCGGGCCGGTTTGTCATTCGGTTTCGTTTACCCGAAAATTTGTGGAAACCGACAACTCTATTTATTTAAATGTTTAAAAAACTCTTGCCTTTTTATCGTTAGATTCTTTCAAATGAATCCCACCAACATAAAAAACATTTTCAGGTTTGTTTCCACCTAAAGGAAAATCAAACAATTCATGCCCGTTAAGGAATATTCCTTTAATCTTAGAATAAAGGCCTTGTGTTGTTGGTGGGGTTTGTTGGCTTTTTGTTGTTGATTGGTTTTGTTGATTTCTTTGTTTAAACCAGTCGTCCTGTAAAATTTATATATTATCTATTCATTTAATGACCAGAGCTGTTTCGAAACCGAAAAATCTTCGAAAATCGTAAAGCGGAAATAGAAGGAAATCCAACGATTTCGGAGGTATTAACTGATATATCTGAAGAGTCTATGGACATTTAGCTTAGAGATTTAGTCAAAACATTCGGATGTCATTCGACTTAGATCGAAGAACGTTTTCGACTGACTACAGGTAATTTATTAAAATTTCCTACGGTAGGAGTTAATTAATATGGATAATGTAAATAATTATCATAGTGAGGGTCGGCAATTAGAGTAAATAAAGTATTGAATGTATGTATTTCATCTACAAAAATTATAAATTAATTGAATTCAATTATCCACCAACTATTGTTACAACAGAAATCGGTATTCACTCCCCACACCCAGTCAGCTTTTTAATTTATGTACAAAATGGTCATCATTTTTCCTTGCATAATTGGTTACAAATAAGAAGTTAAATTATTGGAGGAAGAGTATGAATGATGCCAAAGGGAATTTTTTGAAATTATTCAAGGAAGAAATGATTGAACATTTTGTATGTACTTTAAGTAAAAAGCTGACAAAGGGAAACACTCGTAATTGTTTAGAATTTAAATTTAATTAACCAATTTGCTATGAACAGATGAGAAGATTTCTAAACTTTTTTCATATTGTTCAAGTATTTCTTTTTGTCTTCCTTCCATTGCATTGGTAATAATAAGTCGGTTAGGACTAAATAATTCATTATCGCCTATTCGTGCCGAATAAATTTCTGAAATTACCAGGCTAATATTTTGTCATATCCTATATAAAAACCTGGGACATTTTTTGGAAAGTCCTTCCCAGCATATTTAAATTGGTAAGCATTAAGTTGGGTGTTGTTAATGCCAAAAACATTTTTAATTCCTGCTTCATGGAAAATAAAGAGAGCTCCTGTGTCCCAAGTGTCAAAAAATCCCAAATCGAACTCTGCATCCTGCAGGTCATAAATAAGATGTTTTTTTTCTTTAAACAAATCTTAAATATTTAAATTAGTCTTTAACAGTATTGGTTAAGGCTACACGAATCAGATAGGAATAAGCTGAGCTGGAGTCAAGATGTTAAAATACCCGGAGCTGGAGGATGAGTTAAACTTTTTTCAAGGCCCATCAAAGAAAGACAAAAATCAGAAATTTAACAAGTTCTTCAGAGGGATGAGTAATTGAAAAGAAAGTTTGAATAGACTCAAACAAAGCATGGGATAAACGTTTCATTTCGTGGTTGCCTTGAGGAAAGGAATTTTTACCTTCAAACACGATGTAAGCTTCATTTGTGAGAATTTGACTATTCTGTTCAAATCCTCTCTTTAAGAATTTATTCTCAAGACTATTTACGCCATCGTCCAATTTTTTGGGATAATCAGCTGAAATACTCATAATTTGATATGTATTTCCGCCTTCTTTATTTCTTCCGTCTCCATGTGTAAAATTTTCAGTATCAATTCCATAATTGAAATTTTTTCCAACTTTTACATTTTTGGTGTTCAGAATTAGAAAGTGCTTAATATTTAAAACTTTTTAAATTATTATTATAAATTTATTTTTTAAAAATAGTTAATAAAATTATAGAATGTTAAAGTTGTCATAAGGTGACAACAAATTACTCATAAAAATATTTTGACGTTAAATTTATTTTTTATGTCTATAATGTTATATGTCAAACATCGTTGGGCATTTTTTCTTTAAGATATTTTTTCATTAAAACCCCGACCCAAGCCCCTTTGCTCCCCCGCCTATGAGCGTTCGGCGTGCACTCTAGTTAAATAATATTTTGAAGGATTTAAAAATTTGAAAATAAAATATAATAATTGGAATATTTTATAAAAGCATAATTTTAGAAATAAAATGTTCAAGTAAAATTTCAAAAGAATGTAATATTAAAATAGAATACTATGTATAATTATATTTATTTCTAACACCCACCACATTAAACTTTTCGGTCAGCACATTGGCGAAGACACTAAGCATTTTAAAATGAACTTCAAGAAAGTTGGGAGCAATAACCAAAGCTCTTTTCTTTCCAATTTCTTTGTTAATAGTGTTACTACTACCAGATTTCATTCCATTTAAATCAGTTAGAAGCAACCAGGCTATGCCAAATTGAAATAGAATTGATAGAAGAAGCATTGTTCTTCTGGATAAAAATTTAAATTTTTACTTCATTAAAGACATAACCAAGCCAAAAAGCAAAGCTGATTATGAAATTCTATAAAAGGTGTGGGTGTTCCCCGACGGTAAAAGTGGCGGTGGAGCCCTCACAAAGAAACTTTAGAGTTGCAGTCGACATTCCTCCCATATAATCTACATCCCACACTTTTGTCACAATCCACATCCTTCCATACACAACAGAGGGATAGGATAGGATGAGGACTGACAAAATATTTTGTCAACAAGATTCAAGTTTGTTTGAGAGATTTTATATTATTTAGCCTTGGGAGCAGTTAAAACTATTATATAACATCTACTCTATTTCCCCTCTGATAAAGGCTAGATATGTAATATTAATTTATAATTTAAACATGTTAATTTGAATAAAACTTAAAAGCAAACAATTCGGATAAAAAATTAAAGTGGTTAATTCAGGGCTCCGATCGACAAAATGCCACTCAAAAGTATCAAAATCTTGTAAAAAAAGTACATAGGGAGAAAATTTGCAAATAAAAAGTACACTCAAAATTAAATTTGAAAATATTTATTCGTGATCAAATCTTTTATATTTCTCTCCTAAATTAATCTTTTCTAATAATTTCTTGTTTCAACTGAGCATTTTGTGCATTTCATTGCATGACATGTCAAAATTTGCTGTCACATGAAGCAAAGCTCTGACAGTCTTAGCCTCAAGCGAGTTTCTTTCCTTCGTCCATTGAATGTTTGCCATTGAGAAGCGCCGCAGGCGAAAATTTTTTGAAATTTGGAGCCTAAGAAGCCAGATTTCTTCTTTTTCAGCGCCGCAGGCGAAAATTTTAAGAATTTTGGAGGTCCTTAAGCCAGATTTCTTCCATTTTTTGCGCCGCAGGCGAAAATTTTGAGAATTTTGGAGGTCCTTAAGCCAGATTTCTTCGTTTTTTCAAAAATGTTGATAAAAAAGTACATACTTTCAAAAAAGTACAAATTCAATTTCGGAAGTACGAAGGTCGATAAAAAAGTACAATACTTTTAAAAAAGTACGAATCGGAGCCCTGGGTTAATTAAATTTAAAATGAATGCGAGTTTAATGGAGATTTTGACTGACTTAAAAACATAGCTAAATATGGGAGGAGTTGAAGAATGGAGAGTAAAAAATTACGAGGATTTGTCTGAAACTCCTCCCCTTCTAAATCTCTATCTTCCATGTGAGTCCTCTAATAGACGTTGACATATAATGCCCACCAATCAGAGAATGCCAACGTTTCAATTGACATTTTTCTAAGATAGAGCAGAGAAAGAGATTTTTGGCCAATTCCTCTATATTCTCTAACATCGGGATCCCGATTTGAAAATTGATAAGAATTTTTAAATTGCAACTCTATCCTCGAATATTGCTTAAAATTTCTGACAATAAAAAGTAAAAACTTTTTCTTAAAATAATTATATTACTTAAAAAATAACGAATTTCATTAATAAAAATTAAATCTAGATGAAATTTTCCAAAGAAAAGTCAACGCAATTCAACTAATCAGCAGTTTCAGGGTGCATGACTCCATCGCATTGTGGTATTGTGGTATTGCATTGTGGTATTGCCAAATCCAAATTCCCAAAATTTTTGCCTACGGCGCTGAAAAAGAAAGAAATCTGGCTTATTGGTTTTGCCAATATTCTGAAAATTTTATACTGTTGCACTCAAAGGAGCATCCCTGATCTGAATACCAATATCTGCTGAACATAAATGTGCTAATGAAAAAATAATTTAATCAACTTTTATCTCCTCGATCCAACGATAATCCTTTGAAATCGTTCGACTTCTTGATGCATCCATATCCGCTGAAAGAAAGAAATGTTGCTTCTTGTCTTTCAAAAATTCTCAAAAATTTTGCCTACGGCGCTTAAAGGAAAAAGTCCGGTGTTATTGGAGATACCAGTCCAACTGTTTTTGGTCTCGAACACAAGATATGTTAAGAAAACAATGCATATATTCAAGGAATATAACGGCGTTCTATGTATCTATTTAAACGAGACGTTAAATTTCCCGAATCTTTTTTAAATTCCCGAATTAGTTAACAATAGAATTTAAACAAAGGAAGCATGCATCTATAAACGTTGTCAAGCGTTATTGAGAAAGGAGAGGAGAGGGGGCTGAAGAAAGAAGAAGGATAAGAGGGAAATAAGTGAGAGAGGGTAATGCGTCGAGTGAATCAATTCCTTCCCTCATTTGGGGGGGGAGGGAGAGGGGGGGGGTGAAAAAAGAAGAGGGATAAGAGGGAAATACGTGAGAGAGGGTAATGCGTCGAGTGAATCAATTCCTTCCATGTCATTTGGGGGGTGAAGAAATAAAAGGGATAAGAGGGAAATACTACGTGAGAGAGGGTAATGCGTCGAGTGAATCAATTCCTTCCCTCATTTGGGGGGTGAAGAAAGAAGAGGGATAAGAGGGAAAAACGTGAGAGAGGGTAATGCGTCGAGTGAATCAATTCCTTCCCTCATTTGGGGGGGGGGGGGGTGAAGAAAGAAGAGGGATAAGAGGGAAATACTACGTGAGAGAGGGTTATGCGTCGAGTGAATCAATTCCTTCCATGTCATTTGGGGGGTGAAGAAATAAAAGGGATAAGAGGGAAATACTACGTGAGAGAGGGTAATGCGTCGAGTGAATCAATTCCTTCCTTCATTTGGAGGGCGGGGGGGGGGGGTGAAGAAAGAAGAGGGATAAGAGGGAAATACGTGAGAGAGGGTAATGCGTCGAGTGAATCAATTCCTTCCCTCATTTGGGGGGTGAAGAAAGAAGAGGGATAAAAGGGAAATACGTGAGAGAGGGTAATGCGTCGAGTGAATCAATTCCTTCCCTCATTTGGGGGGGGGGGGGGAGAAATAAAAGGGATAAGAGGGAAATACTACGTGAGAGAGGGTAATGCGTCGAGTGAATCAATTCCTTCCCTCATTTGGGGGAGGGGGGTGAAGAAAGAAGAGGGATAAGAGGGAAATACGTGAGAGAGGGTAATGCGTCGAGTGAATCAATTCCTTCCCTCATTTGGGGGGGGGAGGGAGAGGGGGGGGGGTGAAGAAAGAAGAGGGATAAGAGGGAAATACGTGAGAGAGGGTAATGCGTCGAGTGAATCAATTCCTTCCATGTCATTTGGGGGGGGGGGGGGGGTGAAGAAAGAAGAAGGATAAAAGGGAAATACTACGTGAGAGAGGGTAATGCGTCGAGTGAATCAATTCCTTCCATGTCATTTGGGGGGTGAAGAAATAAAAGGGATAAGTGGGAAATACTACGTGAGAGAGGGTAATGCGTCGAGTGAATCAATTCCTTCCTTCATTTGGAGGGCGGGGGGGGGGGGGGGGGGGTGAAGAAAGAAGAGGGATAAGAGGGAAATACGTGAGAGAGGGTAATGCGTCGAGTGAATCAATTCCTTCCCTCATTTGGGGGGTGAAGAAAGAAGAGGGATAAAAGGGAAATACGTGAGAGAGGGTAATGCGTCGAGTGAATCAATTCCTTCCCTCATTTGGGGGGGGGGGGGGGGGGGGGGGTGAAGAAAGAAGAGGGATAAGAGGGAAATACGTGAGAGAGGGTAATGCGTCGAGTGAATCAATTCCTTCCATCATTTGGGGGGTGAAGAAAGAAGAGGGATAAAAGGGAAATACGTGAGAGAGGGTAATGCGTCGAGTGAATCAATTCCTTCCCTCATTTGGGGGGGGGGGGGGGGGTGAAGAAAGAAGAGGGATAAGAGGGAAATACGTGAGAGAGGGTAATGCGTCGAGTGAATCAATTCCTTCCCTCATTTGGGGGGGGGGGGGGGGGGGGGGTGAAGAAAGAAGAGGGATAAGAGGGAAATACGTGAGAGAGGGTAATGCGTCGAGTGAATCAATTCCTTCCCTCATTTGGGGGGTGAAGAAAGAAGAGGGATAAAAGGGAAATACGTGAGAGAGGGTAATGCGTCGAGTGAATCAATTCCTTCCCTTATTTGGGGGGTGAAGAAAGAAGAGGGATAAGAGGGAAATACGTGAGAGAGGGTAATGCGTCGAGTGAATCAATTCCTTCCCTCATTTGGGGGGGGGGGAGGGAGAGGGGGGGGGGGTGAAGAAAGAAGAGGGATAAGAGGGAAATACGTGAGAGAGGGTAATGCGTCGAGTGAATCAATTCCTTCCATGTCATTTGGGGGTGAAGAAATAAAAGGGATAAGAGGGAAATACTACGTGAGAGAGGGTAATGCGTCGAGTGAATCAATTCCTTCCCTCATTTGGGGGGTGAAGAAAGAAGAGGGATAAAAGGGAAATACGTGAGAGAGGGTAATGCGTCGAGTGAATCAATTCCTTCCCTCATTTGGGGGGGGGGGGGGGGGGGGGGGGAGAAATAAAAGGGATAAGAGGGAAATACTACGTGAGAGAGGGTAATGCGTCGAGTGAATCAATTCCTTCCCTCATTTGGGGGAGGGGAGTGAAGAAAGAAGAGGGATAAGAGGGAAATACGTGAGAGAGGGTAATGCGTCGAGTGAATCAATTCCTTCCCTCATTTGGGGGGGGAGGGAGAGGGGGGGGTGAAGAAAGAAGAGGGATAAGAGGGAAATACGTGAGAGAGGGTAATGCGTCGAGTGAATCAATTCCTTCCATGTCATTTGGGGGGTGAAGAAATAAAAGGGATAAGAGGGAAATACTACGTGAGAGAGGGTAATGCGTCGAGTGAATCAATTCCTTCCCTCATTTGGGGGGTGAAGAAAGAAGAGGGATAAAAGGGAAATACGTGAGAGAGGGTAATGCGTCGAGTGAATCAATTCCTTCCCTCATTTGGGGGGGGGGGGGGGGGGAGAAATAAAAGGGATAAGAGGGAAATACGTGAGAGAGGGTAATGCGTCGAGTGAATCAATTCCTTCCCTTATTTGGGGGGTGAAGAAAGAAGAGGGATAAAAGGGAAATACGTGAGAGAGGGTAATGCGTCGAGTGAATCAATTCCTTCCCTCATTTGGGGGGGGGGGGGGAGAAATAAAAGGGATAAGAGGGAAATACTACGTGAGAGAGCGTAATGCGTCGAGTGAATCAATTCCTTCCCTCATTTGGGGGGGGGGGGGGAGAAATAAAAGGGATAAGAGGGAAATACTACGTGAGAGAGGGTAATGCGTCGAGTGAATCAATTCCTTCCCTTATTTGGGGGGTGAAGAAAGAAGAAGGATAAAAGGGAAATACGTGAGAGAGGGTAATGCGTCGAGTGAATCAATTCCTTCCCTCATTTGGGGGGGGGGGGGGGAGAAATAAAAGGGATAAGAGGGAAATACGTGAGAGAGGGTAATGCGTCGAGTGAATGAATTCCTTCCCTTATTTGGGGGGTGAAGAAAGAAGAGGGATAAAAGGGAAATACGTGAGAGAGGGTAATGCGTCGAGTGAATCAATTCCTTCCCTTATTTGGGGGGTGAAGAAAGAAGAGGGATAAAAGGGAAATACGTGAGAGAGGGTAATGCGTCGAGTGAATCAATTCCTTCCCTCATTTGGGGGGGGGGGGGGGGGGGGAGAAATAAAAGGGATAAGAGGGAAATACGTGAGAGAGGGTAATGCGTCGAGTGAATCAATTCCTTCCCTTATTTGGGGGGTGAAGAAAGAAGAGGGATAAAAGGGAAATACGTGAGAGAGGGTAATGCGTCGAGTGAATCAATTCCTTCCCTTATTTGGGGGGTGAAGAAAGAAGAGGGATAAAAGGGAAATACGTGAGAGAGGGTAATGCGTCGAGTGAATCAATTCCTTCCCTTATTTGGGGGGTGAAGAAAGAAGAGGGATAAAAGGGAAATACGTGAGAGAGGGTAATGCGTCGAGTGAATCAATTCCTTCCCTCATTTGGGGGGGGGGGGGGGAGAAATAAAAGGGATAAGAGGGAAATACTACGTGAGAGAGCGTAATGCGTCGAGTGAATCAATTCCTTCCCTCATTTGGGGGGGGGGAGAAATAAAAGGGATAAGAGGGAAATACTACGTGAGAGAGGGTAATGCGTCGAGTGAATCAATTCCTTCCCTATCATTTAACTTCTCTAGACGTTACTGCTTCACCCCTCCCCAACTCCCTAAAATACCATCATATTTTGCCAAAGTTATATTTTGCCAATAGTGAAAAACCTAAATATCTCCATAAATTATTGTGTAGAAAATCTCCATAAAGGTCTCCAAAATTATCAAAAACAAAATGAAATAAAAAAATTTTATCAAAAAATTAAAATGATATATAGTTGAGTTTTACTCATTAAACTTGTGGCCCTAAGGAGGGCCATTTAGGATGTTTGTTTTTTTCAATGCTTTACCGCTTGCTTTGACTAAGTATAGACTTCGTCACCTCCGAAACTACGTATACAATTAATTATTACTATCAGTCTCGTTAACCTTGGAAATGTTTCTGATTAATCATATGATTTCAGAAGTTGACGCCTTTTAGGAAATCCCGTTGTACTTGTTGTTATTTTATTATGTTTCAAATTAATATAAAATTTTTTGAAGAACAACAGGAAACTTTAACAAAACTCAGCGGCAATTTATGTTATTGGCAAAATGTCAAAATATGCATTTGTCAATTCATTTCTCTCGTAGTGTGTATCCAAAAAAGGGCATTTATTGACAAGACATTCAGTTGCTTTAAAAAATTAGAGATGTGACAAAGGGCAAATAAACATTTAATTGATTTTATTTTAATTTTTAAATTTATTAAATTTTGTTTAAAAAATAATTTTATTTAGAAAATATTTAAAATGTATGTTGATAGCGCACCCCACAAATCGTTCAGGTCCGGGATCCGGCCCTCAAATTGGATCCGGTTCCGGTGAAACACTAATAAAATTATTACGGTTTTCTTTACCAAGCTACTCTTATTCCGGAAAAAAAGTTATTCAATAAAGGGTTGTAAAATATAATTTTAATTTAAGGGAATACAAAATAGCTTAGTATTCCAAAACTCTGCATTTAAATATGCAACATTCATTATACAAAATTAAAAAAAGTTTATATGAAAAATGTTAAATGATTACAACTAAAGGCGGAAATAGAAGAAAATTGAAATATGCCAAAATTTTTCATATAAAATTTATTGAAATTATCAAAATAAATGGAAATAGTATAGAAATGATATGCATATTAGTACATATACGATAATTTTAGATAATTTAATCCGCAGAACTAAAATGTGTAGGGTCATTCAATTTTAATTTTGAATTCTAATTTATTTTCTTCTTTATTCTTTGTTGTTTTTTGTAACAAGCATTACATATATATTGCTCCGGTTCTGAGTAACGGTACCAACTTGATGTTTTTGTACCTCGGCAAATAAGACAATTTCGATCTAGCGTAATTTGCTAAAATAATTAAATAAATGTAATAATAGATCTCTAATGTAATAATAGATCGGGACCCGACCTAATCGGGTATATCTAAAACAGATTAGAATATAGAAAAATTCTATTGCATGAAGATTTTATTGGAGAAATTCATATTATCATTTTAGTCTCTTACTCAGAAATAGGTAAACATTATTTAAATAGTTTTAAAATTCAAATTTTTATTACCGCCCAAAAACAAATAAGCAACCTTTTCAATTTTAAACCACAATTCTTTTGGTCTAAGCTTTCCATTATTATTTTTATATACGTTACAAGCGTTACACAAATAATATTCTTTTAGGAAATTATGCCAATATTTCTCGTGTTTATTTCTACAATTGAAGCAATGTCGTTTATTTTCTTTAATAATTTCGCCTTTAAAGATAAAGATTAGATATTAATAAATAAAGGAAGACAATTAATTTTTTACGTATTTCGTTGCCAATGTAAATAATTTTGTTTTTTAATTCTTTCGTATATTCAACTTTTTGTTTTTCTAACAATTCAATTTTATATCCAATTAAATTAATTTCTGCCCAATAATTTGGCAAAAGTTTGTTTTTATAGGATTCCATATTTTGTTTTAATAATTCTTTTTTATTTATTTTTGTATTTACTAAACTCTCATCTAATATAGAAGTTTCATAATAATTATTATTCATAGCAATAAAATTATTATTAAGGAGCACCTTAAATTTAAGAACAAATTAATATGATTTTAGTTGATATGCATATTCCTTTACCATTTTTGGACTTTATTTTTCAAAATTCAATATTGAAATACCTGTTTTCTAAAACCAACCAAAATATTTTGTATAATTTTATTATTTGCAATATCAATCAAAACTCTCCTGTTTAATTCTACGGTAAATTCTGATCTTTGATCTAGTTCAACATTAAAAATATTTTCTTCACGGTTTATACGATGTAAAAATCCATCAACATTATAATTATAGCTAATATTATATTTATTATTATTCTTTATTATTTTTTTCAATACAAAACGCTCTTTTAGTTCGACGTTCTTTAAATAAATAAATTCTCTTTTTTCTTCCCAATCATCTTTGATTTTTACTAGAACACTAACTTTTTTTCCTTCACATTTTATATTCAATAGGGAAAATAAATATAAGTGTGAAACAATAATAAATTTCATCATCTAAATTTTATTATTAAAAATATAGTGTTTATACTCCTTAGACAATGTTCTTAAGTAAATGAAAACAAAATATTAATTATTGAGATAAAAGTTACAAAATTTTCGAGGATTTTATTCGAATTTAATTTTTAAGAAACTGCCTTAGTTAAAAATAAATGGATATCAATAATGGATATCAATAATAAATATCAATCAAACTTTTCTTCCATTAAATGGCCATAATATAACTATTTATTTATCGTTTTATTTTGAAATATAGCCGGCATTTAAAAATAAATATTTGCACTTTTTATTAATCTCTTAAGATTATTTGTCAATAAATTATTTCAAAATATTTAAAGCTAGTCATATTAAAGGATTCAATTGACAAAAAGTGCAAATAATTTTTTTATCCCGCCGATTGACAAAAAAAATAAAAATAAAATAGAATTTCAAAATATTTAATGACTTGTGGACTAATCAAATGAATTTTCTATTAAATATAAAGTGCAAATATTTATTTTTAAATGTCTTATAAATTTTAAAATAATAACTACTGATATGCCGATACCCCCAAGTTTCATGATATCCTCTTTCATCCCTGAATTTGAATTATCCTTAATCCCGCCAGATCCCTAGATATCAAATCACCGATATATTTACTATTATATTATTACCTATGACCTCTTGAAATCACACGGTATCACTCAAAATCCAATTTAATACCCCAAATCCCCTGATATACCATTCACCTTCCTTTTACAGGATTTGGAATCAACAAAATTTGAAAATCAACAACAAGAGGAATTGATTTTTAATGTTTACTTAATAAAAAATTTTTTTGATGAAAACATTCAACAAATTAGGTATTTTAAATTTCTCTTAATCATTCTTCTCAAAAATATTTGAAATAAAATCTGGATATTTACAAATATTTGGATAATTAAATTTAATATGTCCAAAAAACATTTGGCCAGTCCTTCTTTTCTCAAAAAAATAATTAATTAAACGGAAACATTCATCTAAACGGCTAGCACAAGAAAATTCCCCAAATTGTTGTTGAATGTATCGAAAAAGAATTTGTGTGTAACGAACAGATTCATTATAAAGTAAATCCTTTCCTTCGTAAGACAATCCGTCGGCAACTAGAAAGGAGAAAATATTTTTAGATTTTAATCTAATATTTTAGATTTAGTATGAATATTACATACTTTTTGGACCTGATTTTTAGGCCTTTTCTTATTTTTCCCTGAACTTCCCGAGACTAAGGAGCACGGATTCGGTTTTGTTTTCGAATTATATTAATTGTTAAGGAGTTTTACATTACTATTCATCCTATTTCACACACTTGTCCAAAATTCTACTTTGGCCTTTTTTCTAATTTTAGTCTAATTATAGTTTAAATTTGCCCAATAAATAAATAAAGAAAGGCTTTTGTCAAAATTTTATGATAAATATAATTAGTGGTTGCCAAAATTATTTTCGATGAATCTACAGCGCCTTTTATTAAAACCCTAACAAATTACTCAATCCTTTACTTGATTGTGAGAAGAATATTGCCGTTAAAAGTGCAAATTCTTCTGTGGATAATTCGGCTTCCTTAACAGTCTCAACAGATTTCGTGAATAAACGATCAGTTAATTTAAATAATCTAAATATTTAATTTAAAGAAATCCATCAAAATTAACATACAAATCATCATTTCTGAAATATTTACATTCAATTATGCTTAGCGCAGGCATAACACAATCTTTACGCATAAAAGTATTAACACCAAGTTCGTATGAAAGAAAACTATTAACAAAACAGATAAATGGGAATGAAATGTGACGGAGTAGAGCTATCTGAAAATTATCAGAAAACTTGTAGGAAATTTTATAAAGAAATTGAAATTAGAAATTAAAATTATAAAAATATAAGTGATTAGAATGATGAGGTAGGATGTAATGGAAACGGATCCAACCCTTGATTGTATTTGAAACAGAACCTAACGGCTTGTGTTTTCCTTTGAGATACCGTATACCCGAAAAAACGTCATATGAAATATACCTCAACCTGGATGATACATAGTTGAAAAATAGAGCCTAGTATAAGGTGTGGGATTCTCGGAGGATTGGGGGGGGGGGGGGGTATTTCTCTTTAGTTTAGAATAAAAAACTATTCATTTATTCAAAACAAAATATTTATAAATAGTACAAAAATATTACCTGATCAGATAAAGACAATTTATTAAATACAGGCATTGTTTTTGCAATAGCAACACAAACTAATTTGTCGACAATTAATTGTTTAATATTTCGTTTATTAAATATTCCAACATTTTCCATTTCTAATTTCAAAATAGCTAATTTCTCTAAGGAAATAGGCAAAGGATTTGGCTTAAAAAATAAAATTATATATCATATTAATTCTATACTGTAAAGAGAAGTTGTGGGGGTGACTGCGGGTCTTCGCGTCTCCCCTATTCTCTCCATTGTGAGAAGCTTCTTTCTTGACTTTTTTGAACATATCTTTTTGAATATTTCCCAAAACTATCAAAATCTTCGAGAAGGAAATCTAAATGTTGTAATACTCTCTATGATATTTTGTTATATTTTCACGTCACTCTCATCTCGCCTAAATTTTTTCTCTCATACGTCCTTTTGGTTAGTTTATAACAACATTTAAATAAAAGCTATTTAATTCCGTAAAAGCTCCTTTAATATAACCCAAATTTTAATCATTTTACCGTAAAAGAATCAATTTGTGTAAATATGTTAATTCCGGACAGAATAATATCCTCAAATTTGATTGGACAATTTAAGAATATATCGTCTAAATCTGTAAATGCATGCAATATTCGTTTTGTATCATTAACAATTTGCAATAAAGAATCAATCTCTTTACGATCAGTTTCACTAATTTTAAACGGAGTTTCAACAAAATTCTTAATTTTAATTTTTATTCTTTCTTTTGACAAGTCTTACCGTTTGATTTTTTGAAAATATTTTTTTATCTTCACACCCTTCGGTATTTTCCTCATTATTGTCTATATCTTTCACTGATTCGGGACAAATATCGTAGCGTAAATATGGAATTTCTGAAATATTTTTAAATTTATTAACACAAGAAGAGTGAATACTTTTAAAACGATTTCCTTTTAAAAATTTCAGATTATTTTTTAAAAATCCAAATTAGAGATCAGAACTAAGCGAGTTTAAAAACTCTTTATAAGGTGCTCAAAATTGCCCAGTAGATGGCATTGGAAGCTGGCCAGTGTCCGTTAACAACTGATCCACACAAGATGGTCCCTTCTTTCATAAATTGGATGCGTGATATGTTAAGGAGACATATCTGGATTGTGGTGATAAACAAAACTTCCTACTTATTTACGTTGGTTCTAAAACAATAACTAACAGAATAGCTATTCGTACATTGAAATATAATGACATTTCTGGCTTTCACGGACTTAACCAAAACCTAACTAAATAATCTCATATTTTTTAATCTCTCCACGTACCTTTCCATTCATTTTAATTATTTTTTAAATTAATAATTTACTTGGTTTTTTCATTCCAACAGCTAAACACTTTTCAAGCCGACAACCTTTACAAACTAATCGGAATTCTTTATTTGTGTTTTTATCAAAAACAATTTTACTTTTAATTTCAGTTGTTTTTGTTAAACAAATACAATCATATTTGCCTTCTTTTTGTTCGAGATAACGACTTTTTAAATATAATTTAATTTAAATTTAATTAAATTAAAAAAATACGTAAAGAAAGCTCCACAAGCTTTACATGTACGGACACAATAATGATTGTAAACATTTTTTGTTGACCCACAAACTTTACAATCCTTCACAAAATTTCTATTCATTTTAATTTATTTCTTCTTGAATATTTTATAAAATAACTGAAAAAATTTTTTTGCAAAATTTAAATAAAAAAATTTTGATAGTTCGGCACAGAATTAGCTTTCTATTTTTAAAAAAGTTTGGAAAATGGCTGTGTAGAACAATAAAAAATTATTTCCTCAATTCATTGTCATCACTAGTAAGGTTGTCAGATCCGTATTAGGTTTGGATATCGGATCCGAATATTCGAAGATTTCCAACTATCCGATAACCTTAATTACTATAATTGTTTATTACCGTTTATTAACGATACCCTTGGTTTTCAGTTAATCCAGATTATAAAAACCCGCTACTCATTCAATAAATTTGGGTTCTAAAATCATAAAAACGCTTAATTTTTGGAAAATTTTTGCTAAAGCGATAGTCCCAACATTACATTAAAATAAATAATATGTAAAAATAGAAAAAAGTAGATTTGTGTAACGAAACTACAAAACAAAAAATTTCTGTTATTAAAAATTGAAAAGAATATCTCAGAAACAATTGTGTGAAGATTGATGAAATTAATAGATTTAATTAAAATTTAATTTGATTTTTATCCGTGCTTAAAATTAAATTTATATAAATTTGCTTAATAATTTTTTTGAATAATTTAATAAAATTTTTAGTTTTAGATGAGCTTTATGTTTGGATGGCTCAAATTTAGTGTGTTTGTTTAAATGCTTCCAATTGCTTAAAAGTGAACTAAAAATGAAATAGTAAAATTTTTATTTGGCCAACAATCATTTTACTTGTCTTTTTCACATTAATTTCTAAATTTGGTAATTTTTTTTGTTGGAATTTTTTGTTTGGATTTTATTTTTTGTGTTGATAACTAACTCTCTCCTCTTTATTTTATTTATTCAAATATTTTCCATTGCGTAAAATTAACTGAAAAGAGAGAAGATTAAAGCCGATATTTTATTTAAATGTGTTCATATAGTAAAGCAGAAACGTGAATGGGAGCGAACCAAAACAAAACGGCAAAACGGAGACTTCACTAACAACGCCGACTCTGGATAGCTTTAGGATATGCTTTACCATATTAATACACTATATGTACATATTTTTACTTCTTTATTTTTGCTTTTTTGTTAATAAAAATTCCACAAAATATTTTTATTTATTCTGAGTGGTCTAAAATTTGAGCTTTGTTCTAAAAAATCTTATTTTTGTTCTAAAATTTCTTATATAATTTAAAATTTAATATACTGTGCATATTTAATTAAATAAATCCATGGGATTTAATGCCTGTTGGATGCTCTAATTTGCAGCGCTCAACTTACTCTAACAGTACTTTTTACTAGAGGTCGGCGCGGGACGGGATCCCGACGGGATTTTCCGGGATCCCGAAATCACGGATTTTTTTGATTTTCGGGATCAACCGGGATCCGAGATTTTTTCGGGATCTATCCCTCGGGATCCCGTCCGAAAAATTATTGCTCTCGGTTAAAAAATAAAATCCCGACTCGGGATCCCGGAAGTGCGATTTTGCCGACCTCTACTTTTTACTCGCTTTTTGCTCTTTTCTTTGTAATTATTTCGGATTATTTTTTCAGTACATACATATTTCTTTTTCTTGTTTTTTTCATTTTTCATCTATTTACACAAATTCATCTTTTTTTATATTTGAATTCAATTTCAGATATTTAAATGTCTTCTACCAAATTTATTTGTGTTATTTGTTCTGAACCTTTAACTTACAAAAATATGCATTCAATTTCATGTGGACATGTATTTCACATTGAATGTATTAAAAATTGGATCATTAAAGTAGAGAATTTAATTACAAATTTAAATTTACTTTTTTCCATTTTAGAAAAATTATTGCCCTAAATGTCGGAAAAATGCAGTTTTGAGTGATATTAGACAAATTTTTCTTGAAGAAGTATCTCCTGGTTATTCCGGCAATGTACAGAATAAATCAGAATCAAATACAATAAAGGTGGCTTTTTAGGAGTATATTAAATTATTTAAACAAAAAGTCCATTTCTAACCAGTGATTGGAATTTTGAAATTTGCTCGTACTGGTACATGTCTAATTTTTTTTCTCGTACAGGCCCTATGTTTGGCCTCGTATCTCGTACTTTCTCATACTTGGGAATATGCAAAAAATTTATGATTATGATTTTTCGATGTCAAGAGTTTATAGTTCTGAATTTTTAGGGCCGTATGCGATAATTCTGGATTTTTGGAAGATATTTTTTTACTGCGCCGCATGCGAACATTTTGGGCATTTTGGAGTTCAAGGAGCAATATTTCTTCCAAGGATTGGTCGGTTTACCCAAAATTCGTGAGCTAGAGGGCCGCACAAAGTTTATACCAGAACTAATAAATCTGTTAAATATCTTAATCCACCTTAAAGTATAGGAAAAATTAGTTAAATTTATCCATATTTAAAATATATTATTTCAGTTATATGTTAAAACGCTTACTGGCAAAACAATAGTTCTTGAAAATATAAAAATTACTGACAATATTCTTGTTGTTAAGAGTATGATAGAATATATCGAGGGAATTCCACCGGATCAACAACGTTTGGTTTGTAAATTAGAAATTTTTGTGTTATTATTAAAAAACATTTGTGTTATTATTAAACTAGGGATAGTCAAATATACAGTCGAGTTTCATTACTATTTATTGATAACCAGGCTGCAATTTTAAGCTACAAGGCACTCCTCACGATGATTTTACTCGAAATCTCGCAATTATAATCTAACACATTCCAATGGACACACAGTTTTTTCAGCCAAAAATCCCTAATATAAAACCCATTTTAGTCAAATAAATGCAAAAAAATGAATTATTCAAAGGAATTATTCATTTTGATTATTTTAACTATTAAAATTCTAATATTCTTTTTGATTAATTCCGGTTATTTTTAGA